ATATTAACAGGCCTGACGCCTGAGCCTCTCACGTGGTCTTCTGCATATCCAAACAAACAAGGGAAACTTTCTTATGTTTATTTTCTTCTGTTTTTTTGCACAAATATTTGTTTTCTTTTGTTTTCTTTGTCTTTCTTTTTTTCTGTTTTTGTGCACGAATATATATGCAAATATTCCTGATCCCAGTGAAAGTACCATAAAGGAAGAGGGAAAGGAAATAAGAGTGAAAAAGATTGGAGGTGGTCCCATTCTTTTCGAAAGTGAACTCAATATTCCAGGCTTTTTCACATCAAAGAATAATCCGTTTCAGGGTTCCAGCTCACCTGTAAAGTACTTCTTTGGTCTACCACTAAAATACTATAATTATCTTAACTTTCTCTTTTTCCTTTTGACACTTTGTGTTCTCGAGTCTTCCAAAAGCAATAGCTGCACTGCTTAAAAGATAACGTAAAATGTTACTCACTTACAAACTTCTATTATCCAAATAAGAAAAAGAAAAGAAGTCAAGGGGCCCCTCAGTTGGAAGGGTCTTGACTTGTAAATTAAAAATCTCAAATTCGAATCTCATGACATCTTAACTGTGTGTTCGAGAAACCTTCCAACATGTAGTTTAAACTATCGATTCTACTTTAAAAAAGTAAAGTACAAAGGTCTTCAAATTTCTTTTTTCTTTTTTTTAATATTTAGAGACAAACATGCATGCAGTAGCCTAACTACAAGCATTAGGACTTGACATGTAGCATATAGCAGCCCTCTCCTTTTACTTGCATGTGTGCCCAAATAACTGGCCATAGTTGTAGGTGGACATTAAGTGTCACAATTATCCCTGAACGGGCAATTGGTCAGCTGACCATGAGTCGTGAACCTCTGAGTTCTTCAAGAATGGTAGATGAAGATTTTGAATGTTATAACACAGATAATATCATAGCAGTCGCGATCATGGTTTTAATTATAGCACCACGAAAGAGACTAGTGAGCACTGAATCATACACAAAATTAGCATCAAAATTCGTACAGAATGCGATTTGGTGCAGGCTCATTGCAACATGTCATTTATCATTTTCCCAGCCCAGTATGTAACATCGTCCTCAAAGTTTTGTTTTTTTTTCTCTTCTTTCATTAAATTTGATTGTGTAATGCTATTCGTGGTTCTAATATTTATATTCCTTAGCTATTAATTAGCTTGTTATAGAGATTACTAATTTACAATAGTTGTTATATTATTAGTATTAATTTTATCGACGTTATTAAATAATAACAATGTATCAAATATTGTAGATTGATATCCGAAACCATGCCTTCCGTGTCATATTTCAACTGGCTACTAACATTTGTAACACATTGATTCCAGGTGCGGGAATTTTTGGCCACCTTTCAGACTCATTCCTAGGAAGAAAAGGCTCCCTAACCGTTGTATGCATCATGAACACCATTTTCGGTTGCCTAACAGCTTTCTCCCCAAACTACTGGATCTATGTCCTCCTCCGCCTCCTTACCGGCTTCAGCACGGGCGGAGTAGGCCTCTGCGCCTTTGTCCTCGCCACCGAGCCAGTGGGCCCCACAAAGCGGGGCACAGCAGGAATGTCCACATTCTACTTCTTCTCAACCGGGATCGCAGTCCTCTCCGGCATAGCCTACATTTTCCCACAATGGCGCGAACTCTACATTGCCTCCTCCATCCCATCCCTGCTCTTCTTGCTCGCCGTCCTCCCATTTGTCTCTGAGTCACCAAGGTGGTACCTCGTACGAGGTCGAATAACAGAAGCCATGAAACTAATGCGCGCCATTGCCAAGTCCAATAACAAACACCTTCCTGAGGGAGTTGTCCTAACCCTAGATGAAGAAGCAAACAACGATAGCCCTACAACAAACGAGGAAGATCAAACTTACAAGGAACTTTTGGACAGCAAAGACGCAATAAGTGGTTCTCTAATTGATGTCATCAAGCTACCAATGACTCGAATGAGGTTATTTCTAGCCGTGGCCATAAATTTCTTGTGCTCCGTCGTGTACTATGGGCTGAGCTTGAACGTCGTCAACCTCGAAACCAACCTCTACATCAACGTCCTGCTCAACGCCGTGGCGGAAATGCCAGCTTTCACGATCACGGCAATATTGCTTGACAAGTACGGAAGGAAGCCCTTGGCGATCGGGACGTTGTGGTTTAGTGGGGTGTTTTGTTTTGCTGGGAGCTTTGTGGGGAATGCTGGGGTGTGGAAGGTGGTTAAGATGGTGTGTGGGATTTTGGGGATTTTTGGGATGGCGGGGACTTACAACTTGTTGTTTATTTATACGACGGAGTTGTTCCCCACGGTTGTGAGGAATGCCGCGCTTGGCTGTGCCACGCAGGCGGCACAAATGGGAGCAATCCTGTCGCCGTTTGTGGTGGTTTTGGGCGGGGGTTTTCCGTTTGCGGTGTTTGCGGTGTGTGGGATTGCCGGAGGTGTGTTTGCGTTTTACTTGCCTGAGACACTTAATAAGCCTTTGTATGACACTATGGCTGGGATGGAGGATGGGGAGGGTGCTTGCAGAAGTGTGAGTTAATAATTAGTGTCATGTTTCTGCATTTTTTTCTGCTTCAATTTTTCTAAATCTAAACTACTTGATTAGAATAAGTTTGTTAGCTTCACATGATATAAATATATAGCTTTGATATTCTTGAGTATGTTATGTATTGTTGATCGTTTGCAATCAGGAGCCAATCATGCATGACCACCCCTCAAATAATCTCATTTTAAAGAGAAAGTTGAGAATTAGGGAAAATTATCCTAATATTAACAAAAACAACACCACATATTGTTTTTCATTTTTAATTGCAATTTGCTTCTCTCCCAAAAAGGCCAAACCTGCCATATTGTCAACTGTTTAATGGACGATGGCTTGGATTTAACGCCACTCCCAACATAATAATAAGAAGAGAGATCTCAAGTCACCTCGGGGTCTAACCAAGTGGAAAACGGTTTTAAGAACCCACATGACACCTTAGTAGTTTGTACTCTCTTTATAGTTTAGATTATCGCCCGTATTTAAAATGAAGAGAGAGAGAGATACCTCAACTTCCATGACTTTGTTAGACCAAATATGTCTGCATTGGGCTGAGTTGGATATGACCCAGCTTTCGGCCTCTTGCCAGTGCCATTAGGAGTTGACAATTATATAAACTATTATTATTGGGCTTGACTCTCCCAATCCAGTTGGCGTTTGAATCCTTCCAAGCTTCAATTCAAGAGAAAGTGTAAATAATTAAGCCCAATGAAACATCCATTTGCAACATATATAAACCTAAATAAAAGCAACGAAAAAATAGGTAAGTAAATGACTAGACTATGCCTATGTTGCGGTTGAGGAACAGATTCATTCGATGATCTACGAACGATACTGCTTATAATCTTGCAGGCCAAATGAAGATCCTGCTCTAACACTGCAGACTTTGTAGCTAGTTTCTACGTTATAAAAACCAGTGCTCATGTCATGAGCATCCAACAGTATACCAAGTATACACAAGCTTGGTTGGACCAACCCAAAGAACCAAAACAAAAATTGTTTATTGGCATCTCTTCTTTCTTTTCCTGCAAAAGTATAGAAATAATCAAACATCAAACCCAGTAGTGTTACTATATTGGGAAACCTTATCCTCTGTGATGACTAAGCCCCATTACAAAGGACTCGGCTTCTCTCCTAATCCATCATTTCTTAACCTCCCTAACCTTTTAAGCCTTACTATATTAGAAAATTGTTCAAAGTCTCAACATACCATATCTATTTCCGGTATCCAACCCAACAAAACATCTAGCTAACTTGATTGGATTTTTGCCCCTCAAATTTGGAGAACATTTTTGTTTGAATCAATTGTCATGACAGGAATTTTTAGGTGCACGTCTAGGCGAGGCAGCGACGAATCATCTGACGAAGAAAATGTGTTTTTTTTAATCAACATAGGGGAATTTGAACATCAAACCTCTTCTAACATAAGAAGAGAAATATTAATATAGACCAAGAGCCATTTATGGTGTTATGATGGCCGCCTTATTTTTTTTCACAGATTTTCCACAAATGATGCCGTTTTGGTGTGCGTGATGCCGTCTTTGATAACATGAACCGTTTTTCTTAGAAACGTATATTTGTTCTTGAACAAAACAGCGTTTTTACAATGTAGGACGGATTTTTCTTTAACCCCAAGAAAAGAACACACAACTTCCAAAATTTTAATTCTCTAACATTTTATGGGTCCCTTGTTCTATTTTTTCATTATTCTGTTTGGTCTTACTCCAATATGTTTAATAAAAATGAAGGTTTTTTTTTATATATAAAATTGAGTGGGCTTAAGATCATTGCTTTTGGATTTTAGAATCTTGCCTCCAAGCTCCACGGTGTTGTTTTTGTACTATTAATTTAATGACCCATAATTTTGTTCTGATTAAGGTAATACAGAGTTTCGAAAGACGTAGGCCTCAAGACTTATGTCTCGCTTTATAAAATTAAAAACTTCTTATGAGCTCAATGTCTTGAAAAAAATTGATATCTATTGACACATAACCAACCAAACTCAAAGACTCACCTTGTTCAGAAAAATTAGGACATTGGTTTGGATTTTCAAGATTTGAGTTTTGTATTGTGCGGGTGAACTCTTTTTTTGTTCTGTTTTATTTTGGCTATAACTAGATTCGAAAGTGAGACATCTTTCAATCTCGGTAAGAAATACATCACTAAGCTAATTTAAATTCATGGATTATTGTAATTGTAATTGTAACAATTTCTTTCTTCACTATGTCATTTTTTTCTTCAACAAAAGAAAGGAGAGAATGAAAACTTAATAACAATGGTGGGAAATATACAATTGCACTAATTGAGTACGAGGGTACACAATACAAGAAACTTTCAACATGTACTTAATTGTTATTTTCCTAAAACTTCATATACACACACCCACACTCTATCTCTCTCTCTCTCTCTCACCCAATTTCGAGCATCAACAATAGCTGACTGTTAATTTAATCCCATCAAAACATAAAGGGCGTCGGAGAGAACGCCGGAATCGCCGTCGTAAGTGAAGCTCCCCTGAAAATTCCACCCCAAAAAAATTAACATCATAAGCCATAACATAAACCTACCACCAAATACAAGTTCTGGACCTTACGTCGTCGTTTCGTTAAATAGCAAAGCAACGGACAGTTTTACTTTTTTACTATTTACGTACCCGTAATCCTCGCCGTGGCTGCGGACCTGAGCTATCGTCCGACTCTGGCCGCTCTTCCTCTTCACTGCTCGCTCAACCTCAGCCGTCCGATCCACCACCATCGCAACAACGTTGTCCTCGGAAATCGAGGTGAGCGACGGCCTCCACTCCGCTGAATTTGGCGACGTGGAGCCCGAGTTCCCGAGCCTTCCCCGCTTCCTGCGCCGACGCATTCGGCGCTGCACAAGCGAGCTGGTCTCCTCGGAGAGAGGAGCCTGCTCGCCTATTGTTGCGGGGCGTGCAATCCCGCAGCAAGACACGAACTCCAACAAGAACTTCATGGCGCGGTTATCTACGACGATGTGTGCGTTAACTAGGGAATTGTGCAAAAGAGAGGGGGCTTGGAACTGGGGTTATTTACAGTTTGCGCCACAGCCGGAGTTTCATTTTGGTTGAGGGGGTTTTTCAGTTTGAGAGGGTGGAGAGATGAGGTTGAGGAGTGGACTTTGTTTCCTGACTCTCTCCTCTTGTTTTGGTGGGAGAGCGCGGGGGTTTTTATAATGTGTTGGGTTAACTTTGGATCAACTGCGAAAGATTAGCCATTTTAATTGGGATTAGTTTATTTAATTCATAAAATAAAACCCTGGTGGGAAAATAAAATTTGAAGAAAATAGTTGGGGCCACAGGATTTGTTTTTTATAAAAGATTGTGGAAAGAGGACGTATTGAGCTAAATGATTGCGATCCATATAAATTCTTATTTTAATTTATAATTATAAAATAAAGTTTTTTTTTATAAAAAGGTTGGATGTGTGTGACAAACTGATATAATCTAATTTTTACTAAAAAAATATATTGCTTTCCTAATCGCTTGTACTAAAAAAATATTAAAATCTAATCTAATTTTAATGAGTTGGATGCCCACCTTAGCACCTTATATGGTATTAAAAATGTGGCATATAGTTGATGTGGTAAGCATAATATTTTCCATTTTTTTGGGTACAATTGATTAGGGGAGGGGGGTTTACAAAAATATTCATTGCATGTCTTGAGTTTCAAACTTTTGCCAACATGAATGGAGGTGAAAAAGCTCAACCAATTGAGTTGTAACCTATTGGCATAATTCTTACATTTTTAGGTGCAAAACTATAGAAAAATTGGGGATCAAATTGGCCGCCTCAATGAGTTCCCCTCATAGCCGACCCTAACCACGTCACAACTTTAACGTAATAAAATGTGGGAGATTTTCCATTTTAAAAGCTATGTATTATTAATTAAATAACACAAAGCAAATGTCTTTTATAAGAAATAATAAAGAATTATGCATAATTGACACCATGTCCTTATTTTTAACTTCGATTTGCAATTACTTGAATTGGTGTTCATACGGAGACCACGCAACCCAGTGTAAAGTGGGAACTAAATAAATCATAAAAATGGCATTGGTACAATTTAATATGTGATGATATATATAATTCAAAGACAATGGAGATTTTGTTTCTGCAGGTTGTTCTAAGTTCAAAAATGCGGCAATGTCACTCAAGCTGCTACCAGTAAGAGAGCATTAACTTTGGATTGTAAAATAATTCTGGACCGACTAGCTTTTGGTTTTTTATCTTATGTTTTTAGGTAATGAGATTTGTCGAAAATTGTTATAAAAAAAACTCGTCTAGATACGTACAATTACTTACAAACCACACTATATATTGGAATATTTCTTATGACAATATGGTTTCATCATATATAGCATCTTATCGATTGAATAAATTTGTATATTTGTAGTTTGCACTTGATTTTGAAGGGTGAAATTTTTTATGATTCAAAATATGTGTCACTTAGTTAGGTTGATATTTAATCTGCTTTGATGTGATTGGTGGTCCTGGTAGGTAGTCAAGTTATGAGCTAATTAATCAATTTTTAATTGAATGACTTAATTTCTTTCCTTCATAGACATTTTTCAACTCATCCGTGTCTCTGTCTAAAAAACCTCAACAGTACGACTTTTTCTGTTGGTGAAACTCTGCGTACTAATTTACGATGACAAACAAATAAAAGCGATATTTTAAATTACAAAAAGAAGGATGGTTTCTCACACAGACATTATCAATGTGTCATATACAAGTCGAGACCCTTTTTTACTAAATTAGACCTTGTTGACGTAACATTTTAAATTAGGCAAAAGTGATTTGGGGTGGACAATCTTTTAGTGTTACTTCAGGCAGTATTAGCAGGTGACCATACAGAAAATACTTGGATTTCTTTTTTTCTTTTTTTCTTTTTCTTTTTTGGAGAGAAAAAGAAATCCAAAAACATATTTATATAGATATATATTGAAGAAAATAGCACTAAACATGCCCTAGAGGAAAGGGAGAGAGGGAATAAATATGGGCTGCCTGGCTGCATCAAGCCGATAGATCCATTTCAACAAGAAATTAAACGTGTAACGGTGAAGTGTCCAACAATTATGGAGGGACTGTGAATGAATTGATATCCAAGAAGCTCACCTACCAACATACCCAAATGCAAAAAGACTATCTGAAAACCCCTTTAAATCGCATAATGAAATCTGATTTCCTAATTAAATAGATGTGGGTCATAATCTTTGACATCAGATTACCTCATGACAAAAAGTTACTAGGATTAGTGCTTGCCTACAGGGATAAAGAAAAGAAAGACTTGCTGGACAGCTTTTGGTCCATATCCATACCACAAACAAACAAACAAATCTACAAAACATCATGTATATATTAATAACAAACTGACTCGATCAATAAAACGTGTGCCACATAAGAACATGTTCTATATGGAAATGGCCAAACTGCCTGTCCAGAAATTGTCTGGACTGAGTCATTTGTTTCTGTGAAGGCCACATTGATGTATCAAGTTTTGTTAGTGCTTTTGAAATGACTAAAAATGTGTTTCCTTAATAAAAGTAAGGAAAAGTGCTTTTAAATTATAAAAACCATTTTTAGTGCTTTCTAGATAAACGCCAAGTACGTGCTTAAATTATCAAAGTGACACTTCAAAGCGTTTTTCATAAACCACTTGAAATGCTTCTAGCAGAAGTGCTTTCTACAAAAGTCTAAACAAACCTTAAATCTCGAGCTTTGCTAAACACAGTCGTTCACAAATGCTGACTATCTGGTTCGATACATGACACTCATATCAATTGAAGATGCACCACATAAAAGGATGTTCAATAGTATGCACCTTTCCCAGAAATGCAAATCTATTTCCACCACATGCACTTCTAATTCTAGCACGACATATAGTATATCTTCTCGGAGCCATACTGGTGGCTCTCGATTTCATTCATTAATTCAAACCTTCAACTAGAAAATTCTTTCCGCTTAGTTCTCACTCTAGAAAGAAAGAAAGGAACAATTCAAGAAACTATATGTGTCACTGAATTGGACAACCAGCTGTCCAAAGAAGCGAAATATTGCTTGGTGGTATAGCTGCTGAGAAACGAAGACGCATCAAACACTGTCATCTTCTAATTCCCCCAACAAATGTCCATCTAACTAAAACGATTTGTGTTGTCCTAATTGCATGACAAGGCGCTTTAACTTTGAAATATCCCAAGTCTGGTTACTTTCAGTGTCATAAATTTTCTTGGATTGCTTCGATAAGAAGGCGTTGCTCAATGCCCATTGGCCCATTGGCCCATGTCAGAAGATTATGCGAACATGCCGCTGGCACAATCAGGCCACCTGTTTCTAGCGTCATTAATGGCAAGAGAGGCTATCAGAATCTGGATTGTTTTATTGTGCTAAGTTCATCTTCATCTACCATATGCCTAGAAAACAAAACTCAAGTGCCAGATCACATATATACGAAGCTCCATGAAAGGCAAAGGCTACAGGAACAAGATTTTGATAACTTTATGGCAATTACCCTATAAACCCTGAGCTGCAAAATCACTCCTTGCCAAAACTAGAAAATGAAAAAGTCTAAAATTGATTTGGGTAGTTCGAATCGACCAATATAATCCGGACGAGGACGATCCTGACAAGACAAAACTGCCCACACCAAGGAGGCCGACATGACTGGAGAAAAGATGATTAGGATGACCACGTCCACTTAATTGAGTAAGTACCAAGTTAGGCCTAATGCCAACCACTAAACAACAGCCCTAAGGATAACCATAACTCAACGAGCAGAAGGGCTGATCACATATTGCAAAGCTAAACCTTGAGCCACATACCCTCAGAAAAGTAAAACCCTACTTAACCGTATAACAATCAAGGATGCCGGCCACAGGCCGGTGCAAATCCAAAACGAGCAACTTGCTCGCCTTAACAACTCTCAGACAAAGACTTTAACCTACATACTTTGCTAAAGTGCTCTTCGTAAACCTAATTTTACAAATTATGACAGTCATTCGACCTCTTAGAAAGGCCTCATAATGTGTGGTGCTTGTTACATTTAACATACAAAGCAAGTGAGAACCTAAAAAAAACAAACCCTTCACAAATTGAAAATACAAAGCATGCGGCGAACCTTAGCTATTAATTTGCTCAAAGGAAAACATAGAAACAGACTACCCCTAAGCACAATCAACCACAAATCAAGTTGAAAATGAGGTCTCGAATATATTATCAGTACAAGTTTCTCAACATCTTAACAAAAGCAAACAGTCTTACACACTATTGTCATAAACACAGACGATTTCTAATACATATGATTTCCAATCTTGCTTGATTGTCAAATTAGGATAATCCCCACCTCATTTTGAAAATCCCAGGCAATGAAGACCAACCCAACCTCTAACCGAAGAATGATGAAGTATAATCACCGAATTCCACTTGCTGACAAATATTATTAAATTGACAAGCTTTCTTGCCTTGGATGCAGAATTTAATAACGGCTATATGGTGGAGACATATTGTTCTCAGGCGGTGGAGGTGGTTGTCTGGGTCTTGCGTATTCAGCAAATATGACCCAACCGTCAAGAAACTATACACAAACAAAACACAAATTCAGTACCAAGTGTCTATAATAACAATAATAACAAATAAATGGAAGATCATTATCACTATCAACAGAACCAAATGATACCTTCCAAGGTAGAAGTGCCAGAGAAAGCAAGGCCAATTTGGAAAAGAAAAAAAAATCATATTTTAAAAAGCCTCACAATAATGTAAACTAGAAAAGATTGTAGCATAAACAAATAACAAGGAAACTAGATATCCGTAAACTTCCAGCATTTGTTAGTTTGGACATCGCAAAAGGTATCATGTTTAGAAGGATGATTCCTGTTGACATATCTAATTTAGGAAGTCTTCATATTGCCCCTTTAATTTGGTGTAAGTTTTTCACAAGGTGTTCTCTTTTTTACAAGGAGTTGGTGTAAGTTTTTCAGAAGCAAAAGTTTCAGTTTATTAAACTTCTTTACTTTTCACAGTTGTGAGCTTTGAGCGCCAAAATATACCCAATGGAACAAGGCTTCCATGACATAATATAAAGAACCATTTTGTTGGCTTGAGGGAGGCCACATTGCAAATCACCAAAATATTGTGTTATAGATTAAATTATCATATGGTGTCAAACTAACTATAACAGTGTAGGGAAATCTGTCAACTGACCTTTCCATCCATGCCCTCTATGCCTTTGCCAGCATCTTCTAAGGTAGTATACCTTACAAAACCAAATCCTTTAGAATATCCTGATACCCGATCGGTTACCACTCTAGCTGTAAACAGCAGAGAATAATTAGTTAATTTTTATGAAGGAAATAACAAATAAAAGTAACAACTTTACAGAATAGAAACCGACCATGAACTACTTCACCAAACTGAGAAAAGGCTTCCTGCAGTTTTTCTGAAGTAGTACGTTTGCTAAGTCCTGCAAACAAACAGATATGTGATCCAATAAAAATCATGGTACTTCAAAATGTAACTCATGTGTGAATAAATCCAGACTACTGAAGTCCATGAGTCACATATCACTTAAAGGAACAGTAAAAAGAATTTTACTTGAAAAGAAATGAAAGAAAAAGAAACAGCCCGCAAGATCATCAATGGAAAAGGTTTGACCCTGAAACTCTCCTGGATCTTAATAGAAACAAATTGTTCCATTAAAATAGAAACAGAGGTCTCACTTCCAACCCTTAATAATGAAAAGAAAAGGAACAAAAAAATAAAAATCAACCAACACTACCATTCTCCTAAATTTGTTTAAAAGCTGGTCAGAACAGAACATATAAAATACATCTCACTGACCGGAATTGACCTGTAACAACCTTGTAAAACAAATATCAACTATTGTTTAAAAGTCACCTATCCATTGTTAACATCAAATGCCTCATGAATTTTCAGAATCCTCTTCCATGCCCAGTATACATCAGTCATTTGCACACTCACAAATCAAAATGATTGACTGAGAGTTAAACAATCACTTCCAAAAGATACTATTTATTCCTTCTATTATACGTGACCTAAAACCTTTGTATAAAATAAAATAAAAACCCACACATCCGCTCAAGACAAACGTCAAAGAAAGAGATATCAAAAATTGGCATTTATACTACCAACCAACATATCCAACATCCAATATGAGAGCCTATAATTACAAAGTTGCAAACTTTGATTCTGCAACCCTCTGTTTGGGTTCTGAAGAAAGGAACAGTTTGTATCTAACTAGGGATCCTACAGTTTAGAACAAAATGGTAAATGATAGAAGTAAAAAAACCAATCAATTAAGTGGGTTGTTCAGTTTTTAGGTTACCCAAGTCTTTAAAAGAAAGAACTATGATTTCCTATCCTCATTTCTTCCTCATCCCAGCGGCCACAAACTCTTAAATTCCAAAATCATTGAATTACCGGCACAAAGCTACCAGCTTTTTACAACTTATAGCAAAACAAACCAAAACGCTGATGACCCACTAGAGAAATAGATGAAATATGAAAGAAAATTAGAGGTAAAATGGAAAGAGGGGATATACCAGAGACGAAGAGGTTGGTGCTTGGCTCAGCCTTCTCTCGAGCCTGAGGCGCCGGAGAGTTCATTGGGGGAATGAAACTTGTTGAGAAGAGCCGTCTCAAGCCACGACTGTGCCCCGCCGCCGCTGCTCTCAGAGTCAAAGCCATTTTCTGTGCTTTGGAGCTAAAGTCTTTCCTAAAACCCTTTCTCTAAACCCTCGACACTGGTTTTCTAACGAGAGATCGAGATTGAGGAAGGTCAGCTGTAGGAGAGAGATTGGAGAGATAATCATTGAAATTACAAAACTGACCTCCATTTTGAACAAGTTATTTGTACAAGTGGTTATTAGGATGAGGACAGTTTTGTCCTATAACAAAATAAATTTCAGGCCGAAGGTGACAGACCAACAAGCAACTGTTTGAAGCTGCACTATGGGTTTAAGAGTCCATTACGAGCTGAAGGACCCAGTTCCTTTGATTTTGAATTCGACAAATTGGGCCTTGATCCGCTGGTTAATAGCTTTCTTACCAGTGCCTTATACTCATTTTTCTTACGAATAACAGTTTGATACATTTGCAAAAATAATTCTTCAAAAATATAAAAAGAAAAATTTATGCACACATGTTACACTGCTATTAGTAGGAATGTAGGAGTTCATACTTACCTAGTAAGAAGGGAAGTATTTTCCTACTTACTCAAATTTTTCGGTTCTTTAAATCTTTTTTCGGTTCTTTAAATCTTTTGTAGAGAGGAGATTCATGACTTCTCCCATTATCTAAGAAAAATGAAAAATAAGGTCCTTGGGTTTACCTCTGTGGTTGAGGTGCTCCCCCCATGACCCAGCTTCGAATTCTAGAGAGTGTGTGTCCCCTCCTCCTTATCAATGTACCTAAAAAAATGTTCACTAGATTCAGAACAAATTAATTGATTTTCACCTTCTTCTTTTTAATAAATAAGGATAAGAGACTCGAACTTAAGACTTTTTCATTATCGTGAGAAGTAATACTACTAGACTAGCTAGTTTGTATTTATTAGAGAGTTTAGGGGAGGAAATAAGAAGTTGAAAATTCCCAACTTTTTATTCAAGATGGAAAAAATTATATAATTTCTTTCTTTTGGGTGAATTCTTGATCACACATGGCATATGGTCAATGTCTAAAATATCGATGGTATCGGAAATATCGGTAGTCCAAAAACATGGAAATATCGGGATATTATCAATATCGATAAAAATTGAATAAAAACCACAGAAATTATAAAAAAAAACTTGGAAATTTTTATTGAAACTTTGGAGGATGTTTATTTAGTCAATTATCTATTGGTTTATCACAAAAAAAATGGGAAAGAAATGCGTTGCATGACGGGTTTAACTAAGTTAAGTTGATTATATAGCAAACTGACAAACACTGTAAGTGTAAAAAATATATAATAATTAATAAAAGAAGATTAAACACACCATAATCATTTATATTATAATGATTTACATATGGTTAATCAACTTCTTTTGGGATGCGTACACAACACAAACCAATTGGACGAACAAGGTATGATATACTATCCACTTCATAAATTATATATATATATATATATTGATCTTTTGGTGATGATGGGCAATGCTCCACTTCACAACCACTTAAACCTTGTAGTTCTTAGAGTTCATGTTTCTTTATTAATTAAGAGTCAAGAATTTTGAGCAATGAGTCCTCCTTGCAGCAATGAGACCACATCACACTATCACCGAAAGCTCCAACAAGAACCCCACCACCACCACCAATAGGGACGGATTCAGGATTTGAAAATAGGGTAACCTAAATTTATCTTACATACAAACGTAGAAAACTTGATGGAATGAATGAATTTCATTGAAGTATAAATTTTAAAGTAAATTAGCAATTACATGATAAACTTCTCCATGAAAGGAAAAGAATTGAAAGTATTTATTAAAAAAAAAAAAAAAAGAAGAAGAAGAAGAAAAAAAAAAAATAAAACCATTTTAATCCATCCAAGCCAACTTGGAAAATAAAAATGAGTAGAAGTAGCCAAATTTATAAGAAAAAAAATGAATTGACATTTTATGTACACTAGAAAGGTAAGTTTTTTTTTTTTTTTTTTTTTTTTTTAATTAATTATACAAAAAAAAAGTAAATGATGTTCTCTAGGAATGTGTGTTTTATGAAAACGCTGAGTAATAAATATTAATTAACCAAAGGCAAAAAAAAAAGAAGGGTCTTCTGTGGGTGGGATCATTGGGATGGGGTGTGTGGAGGTGTGCTTTGGTAGGCTGAGTATTTGTTGAGGCCCAAAAATCCAGGGTTGGGCCCAAATAAATTCTCGGCCCAACATAATGCCTTATTAAGAAAAAGACTCGGTTCGGAGCATGCAAAATTCCTCATTCATGCTTGCACAAGCCACGACCACATGCCATGCCAAATAAATATACAATCTCTCATACTAAGAGTTGAAATAAGCACTAACTCTACGAGCCCATGCTAATTACCCCGTCAAGCATCATGCCTCTATTCAAGAACGATAAAATTAAAACACGCCGATTGACATGCCATGCTAAGCAGGAAATTATTATTTCACACCCAACCACGCTACAAGCTTAAGTGGGCTCAAGCCACGCAAATGCCCGGGACTTGCTTGAGTGGGTTGTGGTATGGATGGTAACAAGCTTTCATGAGGCCCATTGATGAGCCAAGAAATGAAAGTTTTGGGCTGCTTAGGAGTCCCAAAACTCAAGCCCATTTCTTAGGCCCAAACACATGGGCTAGCATGAAGGAGAGAGAACATGACTCAATGCCTTAGAGAATATAGTAGTTTTCTTAGGAAACCCTATGTTAGTTAGAGCATCCAAATACTTTGTTAAAAATGCAACAGGCAAACTGCTTCCAGCAACTTGACGAAAACAAACTAACTGGTTGCTGTAGAATAGAGTATCACTGACCCAAAACCTTGGGAAAAGCCCAGCCCAGTGCTCTACAAAATATCTAGCAAGCGTGTTCAGCCTTTGCCCAAAGTTATATGACAGAGTCAACATAAGCCAACGTAAAACCAAAGGAAATTCATACGAGCAAGAAGGATACCCATCGAACAAAAAGCTCTACCCATCCTCTTTTCCATTACCAGCTTCATTTGGAAAACCAATGAGGAAAGCAAGCGGCGCCTCACCCTTATGGGGAGGTCCAACTGCGTCAAACCCTTGGAACCACAAAGGGTTCCTTACCCATGCACCTTGGATATGAGAATTTCACCAAATTAGATCAAGTATGAAGAAACGATGAAAAGGGAAAGGAAAAGTTAGACGAAATTAAGGTTCTTCAAGCCTATAAAAGAGAGCTTCTTCAACTCAGAAAATCATCCTCCAAAGCCTGACCAAGCTTTGTCAAGCAAACTGGGAATCTTACTCAAGCCACCCAATCTTCTTCCTCGTTTGTTTTCTTCTTTCTCTAATAAAGAAATATGTCTAATCTTCCTCTGTTCCACTTTAACCCTTTGTTCACTGTAAGAAACTCACGCTTATTTCTCTCTGTCTATGCTAAACTCATGATGGTTTTGCTCCCATGCCACAAGCTCCTCATGCTAAGCCATTAATCAATCTATCATGCTTATTTGGCTATTGGTGAAAAGAACCTGAGAGTGTTTTTCTAGAGTCGCATCAAGCTTTTCAAAAACTCTTTTGGGAGCCTGGTCTCTGAACTCTGATACTTGGGGAATTTCTGTTCGTTTTCTTCTTACGGCAGCCCAAGCCCATTCGTCAAGCTGCTAGAACAAAAAGACCCCTACAGTATTAATATTGAACTATAAAATATCAAGTTGCCCAGACTATAGCCCATGTTAACATGTTCATAGGTCCATCCCTGACCACCAACATAACAATGTTCCACATACAAACTACACCACTTTGCCAATTAGTTTTTGGTAGCCCAATTCCTTATAAATCTTTGTTAAATTTCTTAACTTTCCAATATGAGATATTTTTACCTTTACATTCTCACAGGCAAAACGTTCCTCGCCGTCAAATTGACCTTTCTGCCACGCTATACAAACTGACATGTCTACAGTATATGCCTTCCATAGCAACAAATAGCTCATTTTGCTGCTTGTACCAAAAGGGGGTGGCGGAATGTGACACGAGCAAGCAACACACCCCTACTCGGGTCTTGAACGATGTCCCCAACACCCTTAGGTTTAGCTTTGATAACACCATCCATTAGGGAAGAGTAAACTTTTAGAGTCTAGGTTTGAGAGGAGAGGAGAGGAGAGGATCTAGAGAAGTATGCGATCACGAGCCTTTGCATTTAGATGTTGTGCATTTATCTGCATTTCGCAACATGTAGACCATTCTAATGATCTAACTGTTTAGGACATGACACATCAACAATTTAAGTATTAAAAATTAGTTTTTTCATTTGAAAATTGTTTCAAATTAATTATATTATTGTTTAAATAAAAATAATAATAAAGTAAAAAAGATGAAAGTTGAGGGTAAGGGGCTTGGGAGGAGTTGGGGAGGGGAAGGGAAGGGGAATCTGGGCTGAGGTCAGGAGGGAAAAGGGGCTTGGGTATTGATCCACCCAGATTTTGATTTTGAAAGTACGTGAAAAAGTTTTTTTATGGAATATCAATTGGAATTGTATATATTCATTGAATAAACCTCTCCACTCACTGCCCTTCTCAATATACTCAATTGACCAAAAACTGTATCCCCAAATTTAATAATTTGGAGAACCAGTTTGATTTGTATTCACACCCTGCTTATTTTATGGTTGTGGGGTCAATCTATGCGTGAGAGGGAGAGAGAGATGGTGGCTTGTATGGTGGCCAGGGTGGCTTTGGGTTGGGTATGGGTGCTGGGGATAAGGGTGGGGACTGGGGAGGAAGAGTTGCTTGCCTTCTTTTTAATCTTGAATTAAGTGTCATGTGACATATCGTAAATGGTTAGATCATTAAGATGATTTAAATGTTGTGAAATGAAGATAAATGCACAACATCTAAATATAGATGCTCGGGATCCATGAGTATGATTACTTGGGAACCAAGCAAGGGGTAAATGTTTGTCATGTTTAATTAATGGGTATACTTCTGTAATAAAAGAAGAATAAAACGGCATACCAAGATAAAACTATTCGGCCACAAATTGTTGGCTGTTGTCATTTTTACCCCATTAGTGCTGCTGCAGAATTTGCGCCACAAGCCGTATTCTTTTTTCTATCTTTTTCTTCTTCTTGTCTTTTCCCCCAGATTTTCAGAGGCTCAAAGTTGATAAGTTCGTATTTTCCACGCAATTCATATGCCAAGCCAAGGCCCCTTGTGTTTCAATGATAATCCATGTTTTAAAATAATATAATTAATGCAGTCGATGATGATCTGTCCCTTTTTTTTTTCCTTTTTCTTTTTCTTCTTTTTTTGGGTTGATGACTAATCAAAGCCACAAAATTTTCATACTCTAATTATTCTAACATGAGATGGTGGCTACATTTTTTTTTTTAAAGTCAATACTAAAAAATAAAATAAAATAAAATAAAATAAATGAAAAGAAGGCAATGGAGATGAAAATATATTAGTCTTCTTCTTCCTACCAACTAGAGCATATATTTAGTTGACGACGTTGCTCAAGGTTTAAGTTTACCCTTCATTTGGACTCTTGCTTCATGCTCATCATTCCTCTCAATCACAATCCCCACAAACAGTACGAGCAAAATTATAAAACAATATAAATTTTCAAAATTAGATAAACCCTTTTAAATTGATTATCAAATGTGTAATTTGCTTCCTCTAGGGAGTGTTTTATCTTCTATAACGTGTCGCAAAGGACCCATTAGTGTAGTGGTTTGGAATAATTGCTCTCCCAGGTAAGAACTTTGGGTTCGAGTCCTAGCATCCGCATTGTGTGTGTTAGTTTAGTATACCCCTCTCAATAAAAAAAAGGTCCTCAAATCTTCTATACCGTGCACACAATGGGCAGCCAACCTTCCCAAGTCACCTTCTAGTGCAAGAGAAAGCTACATCGCTTTTGCCCATTTTGACCCAGATAAGAACTTTGAGTTCGAGTCCTAGCATCCGTATTGTGTGTGAGAGTTTAGTATACCCCTCTCAATAAAAAAAGGTCCTCAAATCTTCTATACCGTGCACACAATGGGCAGCCAACCTCCCCAAGTCACCTTCTAGTGCAAGAGAAAGCTACATCGCTTTTGCCCATTTTGACTCTCTCGCTCTCTCTCTCTTCTTCTTCTTATTTTCGTTTTTTTTTGGGTGAGTGGGAAATATTCTTCACTTTACAACTACGATAGCTTCTACTTCCTCTATAAATTAAGAATCTTCAATGAAGCTGGAAACTAACCTGGAAGCACCTCAAGAACTTCCTATGCAGAAACTGAAGAGGAGTTCACCAATATGAGACTCTGCCTTATCCTGTTTTTGATAACCAGGCTATTTACAAACTCTCAATCAATTAGCAGAGCTGATTTCCCAGATGGGTTCGTTTTCGGAACGGCTTCTTCAGCATACCAGGTACTTCTTTGTTTTGGTTTTAACAACATGATGGAGCTTAGAACATAAAAGAGCAGTTAATCACGGAGTATTGTATGTGGTAGTTTGAGGGGGCTGCAAATGAAGGAAACAAGGGAGCTAGCGTATGGGATACTTTCACAAAAGAACCAGGTAAGAACTCAAATTTGATTTGCAGTTTTAAATGATGCAAAAAAGAAATTTAGCAACAAAATACAGAATATATGATCCGACACGGCATTTTGTGATTGCTTTGCTTGTTTTCTATGCTAACAGGGAGGATTTTGGACTTCAGCAATGCAGACACAGCCGTAGATCAATATCACAGATTTCAGGTGAACTGCAGAGTGACCTTGATTGACTTTAAAATTAACATTGTAGAGTTTTAACCTTACAAGCAATAGCAGATTATCTCCAACTTTTCTTTCTTTTCTTTTCTTCTAAGTCTTCTCTAGTTTAGATATAAAAAATGGTTATCATTTAATTAAACAAAGAACCTGTCCATTGAATGGTTAGGGAGAGAGAAATTATTTGGATAAGATTACTTATAATCTTCTAACAATGAAAGAAATATAAAATTATAAAAGTAAGAACATTGAGATAAGCGATGGCAATGATGCATCAACAACTTCAATAGTATAACAGGAAACGAATCCAAACAAGACAGTTGGCAGAGTTCAAATAAATTATTAGCCAACAGACTGCTAATCTCTTACTTTGCCCCAAAATAGAGAGACTAAAAACTCAAAATTTACAGAGTGATATAGACTTGATGAAGGATATGGGAGTGGATGCATACAGATTCTCGATATCGTGGCCAAGAATTTTTCCAAGTAAGATCTGATTCTGTTCAGATTTTGTTTTTAACTATTTCATTGTCATCTGATTACTTAACGCTTTTGAAAATAACCTTAAACAGATGGAACAGGAGAACCCAACTCAGAAGGAATAAACTACTACAACAGCCTTATAGATGCTTTGCTGGAAAAAGGTTACTCCATGAGACCTCTCTAATAAATACATTCTTAGAGAGATAATTCTTTTAGAAGAATATTATTTGATCGATTTTTAAATGTAATTCCTCTGAATCAGGGATCAAGCCTTTTGTAACACTATATCACTGGGATCTTCCACAAGTGCTTGAAGACAGATATGAAGGATGGTTGAGCACACAGATAGTGTAAGTATCAAACAGCCGCAGGAGACATTTTGAAAATGCTGATAAAACATAATCCTTACCTACCTCGCTTACAGAAAAGACTTTGAACATTATGCCTTCACCTGCTTCCAAACTTTTGGAGATAGAGTGAAGCACTGGATCACCTTCAACGAGCCTCATAATACTGCTCTCCAAGGTTATGACTTAGGCATACAAGCTCCTGGGAGATGTTCGATTCTTGGTCATTTGTTTTGTAAGAAAGGAAATTCATCTGCAGAGCCATACATTGTTGCTCACAACATCCTTCTCTCTCATGCCGCTGCTTATCATAGTTACCAGCAATTTTTCAAGGTACCCTGATTTCCATAGAATATTACTTCCTAACTCAAGTACTAATCATTATGCTAAGTGTTAAAGAATCCAAAAATGGAATTTAGGCTTTCTGTATTTTTTACTTTTTCTACTGGAAACCTAGGCGAGACAAGGAGGTCAAGTAGGAATTGCACTGGATGTCAAATGGTACGAGCCTGTATCTGATAATGATGAGGACATAGATGCAGCACATAGAGCAATCGACTTCTCATTAGGATGGTAATTTCTGTTTAAACATTTTATGCATTGCATTTAGGAAGAGTCCAAAAATTGTTTCTAATACAGAAAAGTGAACCAGGTTCCTTGATCCACTATTTTTTGGCAAATATCCTCTTTCCATGAAGAAGCTTGTGGGTCAGAGATTACCAGAGATTTCACAGGCAATGTCAAAATTCCTGGTTGGATCTTTGGACTTTGTTGGCATAAACCACTACACCACACTATATGCTCGAAATGACAGGACTCAGATTCGAAAGTTCATAATGCAGGATGCGATATCTGATGCTGCAGTCATTATAACCCGTAAGATGCCAAAGTACAACCTTCTACCCGCTGGTAGTGTTTGGTTGCTGGAATGATCATTGGGATGGAATGGAATGAAATAAAAAATAGGAATGGATGTTGAAAGAGTTAAAGGTTGAAGTAGGACGAATAGAAAATTGGTAAGGACAGCAATTGGAATCCATCATTTTGGGGGAATGGGGAACGTTCATTCCTTTATTTTCTGTCAACCAAGCAATGGAATGGGTGCTCCATATGGCATTCTTACCTATGGAATGCCTATTCCATTCCAAGGTTCATTCCAATCAACCAAACACTTCCTAAAAGTAAATATGAAATAATGAAAATCAGAATTTCAACTGATAATTATTATACCTGACTTTGATTGTAGCATATAAAGAAGGAGTGGCAATCGGAGAAAGAGTATGTATCAAGCCCTTGCTAAACCCCTGAATTCAGTCACTGGTTTCATATTTAAGAAATTTCATCAGTTATTCCTCCTCCAGGCAGCTTCCCGCTGGTTACGCATAGTCCCATGGGGCATCCGAAAGTTGGCAAGACATCTGAAAGATAAGTACCAGAATCCTCCAGTGATAATTACAGAAAATGGTGAGTAGGTTCAGATTTAAAATTTACAAATCAAACTTTGAGAAAGTATTAACGGTTCAAATTCATGAGAACAGGTATGGATGATCCAAACAAACCTTTCATACCTTTAGAAAAGGCTTTAAAGGATGAAAAGAGGATAAGATTCCACGGGGACTATCTCTCGAACCTATCTGCTGCTATAAGGTAATAACAACTCCCCACTTTGATAGCTTTGTGTAATTTCCTGGGTTGCTGCAGGGTTGGATTGGGATGATGGAAAGTAAGACCCCAATGCCTGAGACCTCCAACCTTGTACATGCCACATTAACAGAAAACTAAATGAATACAGGCAAGACAACTGCGATGTTCGTGGTTATTTTGTGTGGTCGTTGCTCGACAACTGGGAATGGAACATGGGCTACACTGTTCGGTTTGGACTTTACTATGTGGATTACAAGAAGAACCTTACAAGGATTCCTAAAACTTCAGTCCAATGGTTTAGAAGATTTCTCCAAGTTAACGATGATCTGAGAGACTACACCAGATCTAAGAACTTACTTTTGGCTACAAATTAGAAAAAGTACATGTTGTACAATGCATTGAACATTCAAAGGAAAAGTCAGTAAAGCAAAAAATTCAATTAAACTCTCCAAGAGTCCAAACATTCTTATCTAAATTAGACATCATTTAAGCATTAAAAAAAAACAATTTATTCACAAACAACCAAACATCATGATTTATACAATTTGATTGACATAACAGATGTCTTTCATTCAAACAACAAACCATGTTCTGCATACAACACCAACTTGCAAGCTTGCATATTTAACAGGCGGTTTGCTAAATCAAATGGAGCATATGGGTTAACATTAACAACCCCCAGCCAGGGACCATGAATTATCATGCCAATTGCAAAATACTGGAATAATTAATAATTTTTTGGCAAACAAAAAAAAAAAGCACATAAATTTTGGAGAAGGAATTAAAGAGCGCAGTGAGAATGGCATACCGGCCTTTGCTCCCAGAGGTGAAGTACGATTTGAAACAGTGAAGTCGGAATCATCGGAGGCTAAGATTCCAGGAAGGAAGACAGAGCGAGAAACCTCTACTGATACTGTTGTTGTTAACTTGTAGCTGTCGTTACTTTTGTTGTTTTGTGTTGCTGTTATTGTTTGGTTCATATTTTGGGAGACCCTCAAAACGGATTGTTCATATTTTGGAATTTCTTTTTTCTATATTTCTAATATGGTCCTCTTTGCACATTTCTTGCTCAAATATTCTCTTCTTAATGTGGAGTATGTTTTGAGTAATTTCCCATTGTTTACGAAAATAAAAATAAAAAATAGTTTTCATGACTCATACTTTTAGGAGTTTTAATCCATATGCAACTAAGCTCATTATTTCGTATAATTTTTTTTTAATACATAGTGATATTGCATTCATAAATCATATTATAAGAATCATGACAAATGCTTATAAAGAATTACAACCAATATGAAGAGATTCAATGACAACATCAAACGCATACGATATATCTCTCTATGATAGAGCATGGAGGGTATTTACTAAGTTTCTCATGAATGAAAACTGATCAAACCGGTCACTAATTATATAATTATGTTACTACTTTGAGATTTGAATTAAATCAATCTCAATCATAATATTTATATTTTATGTATGTAATTAATAAGAATGAGAGAAATCATGAATCGATATATCGAAAGAAAAACATCACCAAAACACACCGAATAAGTGAGTTTGCGGCTTTCGATTGTTACTTTGACCATATGCGACAAAGGTGTCATATCAACCCAAACCATGCCCTAGCTAAGACCAACTTCATTCAACCTAGGAGAAAAATCACATACGCACCATACCACGTTAAACAAAATACACCTATTATTTTTAGGTGATGTTAGGCCCACGCAGCCAGCGAGCATAAAATCTGATACAGAGAAACACTCAAAGCAACTTTTAAGCCTTTGAAAACACCCTTCTTATTCATTCTTTGTCTCTCTCTCATCTTACTAAACACAAATAGAAAAACGTTGCTGTCTGTGTTTGTTTCCTTTGCCTTTTTGATAGCAAAGCTCTGATTTTGAGCCGGCATTCGATTATTTACCGCAAACCCGGATAGTGTGCTAGTGTTAGTTTGATCCTTCGCCATGAAACGAGGGTACTCAGAATCCCCATCCACCTCTCTTGGGCCACCTCAATCCAGGTTGAAGCCCAACCCAGAAGGTAATATTTGTGATGCCAAACTCATATGCCCTTTTGTTCCCTGCTTCTGATTTGTTGCTTCTTGTGGTAAATTGTTCATCTTTTTGGTTTGTTTGGGAGTTGTTGGATCTGGGTCTTGTAGTTTTTGCTGATAAAGTGAAGGGTGAGGGAGAGGGAGAGGGAGAGAAACATCAAAGTCTGAACTCTTTTTCTATTTTGTATTTTCGATTGGTAATTCATTCAATATTTGTTGTGTTCCTGATTAGTGTGGCTGTTTAATTCGAACCTGGGATTCTTAGTTCCCCAACTAACGTATTTGGTTTATAACAGTGGAAACTGAGAGAAGGTGAATATAACTAAATTTTGATTTTGCTACTTTTTACTCTTTTCAATCACTACATAATGAAAATTTCAATATTTAAATCTTTTTTTTAGCTCTTCCGTACAAAACTTGCAGTGATATTGAACACAACAATGGTGTTAGGTTGTTCTTTTTTAATTAATCAGAGTTTCTTACAATGTGGCCTTAGGTGATTCACAATTCTTGGAGGATGAAAGCACAAAAATTTTTGCACGTAAAGTGGCAGATCATTACAGTGCAAGGACGAATCAAACGCTGGAAGAACGAGAAGCTAGTCCAATCATCCATTTAAAAAGCTTAACAATTGGGTATGTCCTTTAATCTCGTAGATACTCCATAATGGTATAATCACACTCCATATTTTTCCAATTGCTTATAGTTCCTTCTCATATTGAGCAGATTAAGAGTGTCTTAATTCAACTCTATGCTCGCAGAGGAGATGCTGTACTTGATCTTGCATGTGGCAAGGTATTGATAGTCCATTACGTCTTCCTTTTTCCCCCTCCTTCCACTAATTTTCTCTTTGTTAATATATTTTTTTCTTTTTGGCTAGGGGGGTGATCTCATCAAATGGGACAAGGCCAAAATTGGATATTATGTTGGCATCGATATCGCTGATGGCTCAGTAAGTACTGAAATTTGGTTACAATTAGCTCATTGGTTCACAATTTTCTTTCACGTAATAGCTCCATATATTTATAAGTTAGATGTGATTGAGGCCGTCTGAGCTTTTCATCAAAGTTATCTTTCTATGGAGTACAAAAATTGATTCTAGGACCATTTTACTGTATTGCTACTCAATTGCTCACTTACGTTTCCAGAATGCATAATTTTTGCACTAGTGCTAGAGTTGTAGTTGCTCTACATTATAGCTATTATGAAGTGTCGTTTATTCTATTTCCAAATTTGGCCTGATCAATGCTGGAGAGGTTTCTTTTTTTCTATTCAATACTTCCTACATTTTTATTTGGTGTGGAAGGAAAGTATTTCCCTTTTCAATCAAGGAATGAGTTTTGGGGAACACTAGTATATAAGGCCTAGTCCAGGGTTTAGGATGATGCTGTATTGCTCCGTGGAGGCCGTGAGTTGAGACTTGAGGGGTTTCAACAGTACCTTTAACTTATCCTTATTGTCGATAGTGGATTTGATCTTCCTCTGGATGTGGACTCTTTTTTTTAAAACCATGTAAATTCTGTCTTTTGTGTGCTTGTTTGCCTTTCTTGTGAATTACATAGTTTTTCATTAACCTGCACCTCATCGTGTAGTGATAAATTGCTGAGTCTTTACGACAGTAAAGGATTTTCTGAACACCAACCTTCTCTTTCAAGCATGACATCTTCCTTGTATGGGTATATTTTCCTGATGACAAATAAATGACTTCTTTTCGCTCAAGACCTTATGAAAATGTGATGTAGTCGTTTTGTTGTCTGCCTTGTTGTTACGGTTTACTTTTTTCAAATGTGTGCCACCATCAACCATCTTATTACTATTTTCAAATTTATGTACAGATAGAAGATTGTCGTACCCGTTACAATGGCGATGCTGACCATCATCAACGCCGTAAAAAATTTACATTTCCTGCCCACCTTATATGTGGAGATTGTTTTGAGGTACTTACAAATATAATAGCTGCTCTTAAAACTGTTATTTTGTCCCTAGGGAGCTTGGGTTTGACTCAATCAAAGAAGCAGCCATTAGGCAGCAGCATATGTGGTAATGCTGCTATGTTGTTCTATGCACTATGATTATTAATGCTGTGGATGGTTTCAGGTTCGCCTGGATAAAGTCCTGGCTGATGATGCCCCCTTTGATATTTGCAGTTGCCAGGTGAGCCTATCCGTGCACTAATAGATTTCTACCTTCTGTTGTAACGCAACTAAAAATTTGAGGGGAAGAAAGCTTTGAAACAGAACCATCAAAATACATTCTATTTTGCAGTTTGCCTTGCATTATTCCTGGTCTACTGAAGCACGTGCACGACGAGCCTTGGCTAATGTCTCGGCTTTACTTCGTCCTGGCGGTACTTTCATTGGAACAATGCCTGATGCCAATGTGATCATCAAAAAGCTTAGAGAAGGTTTATTTTACACCTTAAACATTTTCGTTTCTTTTGGAGAGTAACCAAGGATCACCCCTTCATAAGTCCAGTAAATCCTCACATAAGCAATATATGTTCTTTTAAGCCCGGTAGATAGAGAAGTTCTTTAGATATAGAAATATTTAGCATTAAGATTGTTGGGCATGGCAAACCACTTTTGTCATTATTGATTTGAGTTCCTATTTTCATTGTGAATGTCCAGCTGAAGGATTGGTCTTTGGTAATAGTGTCTACTGGATACGATTTGATGAAGAATTTTCGGAAAAGGTATGTTGTCACTCATGTGCTTTATTTTTCATTTATTTAGTTATTCTCCAAGCTGATACATTACCTATGAAAACACGAGTATTGAAAATTTTCCAAATTTGACGATTACTTCCTGTATGACTCAGAAATTCAAGTCTTCAAGCCCCTTTGGTATCCAGTACAAGTTTCACCTGGAGGTATCTAATACGTTTATTTATATGTTCTGTTTGTATATGGTTGTATCTAAAATGTTAAGCTGGATGGTTCCATTTAACTTTTTTTCCCATGATTTCTGATATAAATTTTCTATGCAGGATGCTGTTGATTGTCCTGAATGGATTGTCCCCTTTCATGTCTTCAAATCCCTGGTAGAAGAGGTATAATTTCTTCTTGTATATCAATGTCACCAGCTTTTGAAAGCTGTATCTTACTTGTAAATACAAGTGGTGATGGAAGTGCATTCAGAAGAACACTCTTTGCTATTTGAAATGTTTTTCTACTTGTAACTGAGAACAAGTATGTGAAATTTTTTTGCAAGATATGGAGCTAGTTTTTGTGAAGAACTCCCATGAATTTGTGTTTACCTTTTGCAGTATGATATGGAGCTAGTTTTTGTGAAGAACTCACATGAATTTGTGCATGAGTATATGAAAAAACCAGAATATGTGGAGCTAATGCGGAGGCTTGGTGCATTAGGTGATGGTAACCAAGATCAGAGTATGTTCATTCCCTGTAACCCTTTATTTCCTCTTTACATACAAACAGTGGATTAATTGTGACCCAAATTTGTTTCAACTGCTTATTGATTTTGTCATTCACTAAAATGATGTGTTGTCATTAGAATGCCTCTGATGAGTTTTTAGTAGTGATCATTTTTCATTATTGCTTTGGCAACATCCAGGCACGCTATCACAAGATGAATGGGAAGTAGCTTATTTGTATTTGGCATTTGTCTTGAGGAAGGTGAGTGCATGTTCCTAGTGCAAAATAACCTGTGTGATTAATCCCATTTCGGTGTCGCTGTTGCTGTTAATATTGTCCGTGTTTGCATTCGTGTGATTGTGTGTTGAGGAATAAATCTGTGTTATTTTCAGCGAGGCCAACCTGATCAGGCACAAGCAAACGGTAGAAGAGACAAAGGGAAGATGCATATATCAAAAGAGGACATAATGTACGTCAGCAATGATTAATGGAAAAAGCAATAACGTCTAGAATATCCATTTTCATAGCAAAAAAAGAACAATGATTTTGCAGCATGGAGAAGCCTCTGCTTGGCCAAATGGGAAAGGGAAGAGAGCTCAACTCCCCACACTGTTCTACTAGCTACTTGTAGAAATGGGTGTAATTACTCAATTTTGTAGACTTAAACAATGATCTAAGATTTGTAATTTACATTTTAATTGAAGAATGCTCCCGAGGAAATAACAGTTTGTAGTCTCTCTGGGATGAGAAATAGTTTAATTACTAAAACGTGACCACCAACCGAGTGTTTGGTGAATTGTAACATCACCATCAGATTAGTGTAACAATTGAATAAAACTGGGTGGTTGTATTTGAACCCCCAAATTCGCTAACTTTACTTTCTTTATTTTCCCTCAACACAAGTTTTATTCCTTACTTTGTTCTAGTATAATAAATTACAAATTTTATTCGTATATGCGGATTAGACCAGTTTGTCATTATAACATGTTTGCCTCCTTTCTTCCGAGTTCAATTCCTTTCTCATACATTAGAATAGTTTAGAATATGACATTGGCAGGAAAAAAAAGTACGCATTTTATCCTTGGGAAGTTTTTATTTGCACTCTAGAAAAGTCATAATGCATTTTTTGTAATAATTTAATGGATGTGTGATTGAGTTGCAAGAGGGTTCTCTTCGAGTGTTTGGAGGCTTTACTTATTCAACAAGTAATTCAGTTCACACAATAGTTAATCCAAAAGTAATTCAACGAAGGATATATACACAGGATATCATCATTCATAGATCTCAAACCCACGAAGAGGTTGAAATGCAAAACATTTCTATTTTCTGACGTAACATGATGCTAAAATCACACATTGTAAACCCTAGGAAACTTCATCCTTTGGCATAGAGCCACACAACAATTACCTTCCTCGCCTGATATGACCAAGCAACAATTATCTTCTTCTGTAAAAGCACGTAGGCTATGAATTGCCAGTTCGTAAATAGTGAAAGATCAAAAAAAGAAAAGAAAACACACTCAATGGTTCTGTTCAAACACAAGATTAAGCTGGCAGATCCTCTAACCATAATGAAAATCTGACTGCAAAACATACCAAAAAAATTCAGAGTACCAAAGACATAAGCTGTACATGTCATTTTACTACTCTTCCCATAAACGATCAATAATGGACTGACCCAAATGGAAAACGTTCAATTAAGCTAAGAAACTTATATGCAGCACGATAACCTAATGGCAATACTTCCCGGCAGCAAATTTGTGTTTATTTATGTTACAAGCACATTAGGCAGAGACACTCATAAGGACTGTGTTTTCGGCAGATTTAGATAGGCAACCTATAATGAACTCTACGAACGCTTCATCAAAACCACCATAACAACCATAACTGCCAGCCCCATGAATGCAGATGCTACCGTCTTCGTATTCCCATTCTCATCTGCATTTCCATTCTCAGCTGGGGAGGGAAAAATATTCTGGATGTAAGTTGACAAATCGCCCACCCACCTATCCACGGTAAGCTTGATTTTCTGCACAAAACCATGGAGCACAGCTTCAAACCCATTAGATTTGTCTTTGTCTTCATGCTTCTTGGGTGATACTGGATCAGAAAACTCAGTATCTGACACATATTTGGGCTCATAAAGATTATGGTTCTTGTTGGACTCCAAGAATTGCTTGACCGCAGAATTTTCCATCATAGCATTCCAGATATTTGGGTCGCTTGCAATTGAAGCAACAACATTCTGGGCATGAAAAAAATAAATAAATTAGTCCCCTAACAAATGGTATAAGCAAGACTATCATAACTGAATTTTGGTAGCTAAAAGCGCCATACACTAACTTCCAAGTTCACAGCGATAACATCTTGAAAGGATATGAGTTGGGAGTTCAATCAAATACCTGAGCTTCAGCACTTCTACTCAGCATTTCAAATGCCTGAAAAGCATGTTTTGGCACGGAGGTCCTAGTAAGAAGCAGGGATTCCACCTCCTCAGGTTCAGGGTTCGTAATTTGAGACAGCCCAGAAACCTTATCAGCAGCAGACTGCTTCCCAAATTCAGTAGATTTGGGTGAAGACAGATATACCCTGAAAGTTCATTTATTGAAAATTGAACATATGATGGAGAGAAAAAATTTATTCAAGTATGAGACTACACACAATAGATCAACCTACAAGCTGACAAACGGGCAACAACAGCAAACACTTTCAATTTCATGAACTCTGTGGTGCTTGGTGTAACAAGAAACTATGAATTTAGAATTTAAAACACTTTCAATTTCATGAACTCTGGTGCTTGGTTTTTATTTTTTTTTGTAAATTTAGTTTCAAATACTTTCAATTTCATGAACTATGAAAACCAATATATAATTCACAGTTCACACAAAAAAAAAAAACTATTTGAAACTAAACTCTTTCACCATCCATTACTCCAACAGCAAAACTCCAATTTACCATCCAATCATTTCTACATCCCAAATGAAAAATCCCCAAAAACTACAAATAAACAAATTTTCACCACCTACGATCATCAAGCAACTTCGAAAAAATCTATTTGGGTTTCAAATAAAGCAATAAAAACACCATCTTTAGAAAATAACAGAGCAGAAATATAAATTTCAATCATTTCTGCACTCATTCGCTTCTTTTGCACTTTTTTCTCGTCAACGAAACAGAGCATAACACAAATAAATACAAAAGGGGACGTCATTGCTTTGGAAAAAAAGAAAATTTTAATAAGAAATCACAGAAGGAAAACAGAATTAACGAAGAAAAAATAATTAAGGCTTATATTGGCGGAGAAATGTACTTATCGAGGGCGTCTTTCAATTCAGTGGTGGCCTCTCTGGCCTCCTTGAAGCTCGGCGCGGCGTCGAAGATGACTCTCGGCATCGGCTCGCCGGCCGACATCACCAGCTCCTCGTCTGCGGCGCCGACCACTTGCCAGTCGACGAAGTCGTCCATCGCATCCAACGCCGTCTTCTCGATCGGAGACACGTCAACCCCGCCGACATTCTCAGCCGTGAGGGTCGCGGCGACCGGGATCGAGGCCTTTCGGATGGACTGACCGGACGGCGACGGAACCGGCGCGCCACGAAGCATGCCGCTTTGAACAACGCCGCCGATCCCCGATACCTTAGCCGCCGCCCTCATGACTCCGCCTCCCATTGATATTGATTGGACACTGTGAAAAAGCTTGTGCGATAAAAACCCTTGAGATCACTTGACTCTCTCGCCCTCCGTATCCTTCCTCTTGAGGTCTCTCTGAGTCTGAGGTGATGAGATTTATATATTTATGGATTTATTTAGAGAGAAAGAAGAGGGCGAGAGAGAGAGAAGGAATAAAGGAGCTCCTGATTATCTACAGAATCTGTGAGGTGATGAGATTTATATATTTATGGATCGCTCTCATGCTGCCACGTGTGGGGTAAAATAGTTTTATGTTTTTAATTAACAGTGGTTAAAATGGTTGTTTTTTTCTTTTTTTTACTGTTGGTCGATGGATAAATCATAAATTTGTATTCTTTTATATTCTTTTAGTTTAATTTGTTGAAGCTTCTGTTTTAGCTTTCAACTATTTTTGACTTTCTGTTAACTTTCTTTTAAATTTTAAAAATAATAGTCAAACTCTGAGGAAAATAGAAGATTCCCTTTTTTCTTTCTTTTTCCTTTCTTCTTTGAGAAGTGAGCAATGGTTTCATTTTAAAAATAATAATAATAATAAGGGCTAAAATGTAGTAATAATCTCTCAACTAAGACTCGACGTTACTTTGTATCTAAGTATCTAATTCAATTAGAGAGTGGGAGGAGATTTTTCTTTTCTTTCTTTAAATCAAATAAATAGGTAAAGATTTGTCGTGTGGTATGCAAAAAAGATGCCCAGATATAGAATTTACCTTTTTTTTTTCTTGACTTACAATTGTTGTGTGCAATTGAACTATTGCCATAAATTGATTCTGAATTTAAATCATCAAAATCATTTGAAGATTTTACCCGAAAATAGAATAACTAAAATTATCCGTTCAATGGAAAATGGGAATTTTCTTGTATAAAGTACGAAGGTAAAGTTATTTTTTCTTTTTAGTTTTTTTTTAATGTTAATATATTTTTCATACAATGGCCAATGGCGCATAGTCCAATTTGGTTCAGTACGAGCCTAAACTGTTAATTGAATCGATTATTTTGGTAATGCCTTTTTGAAATTGTAACAGTCCAAATAAGATCGCTTTAGTTTGATTATGTGTGAGTGAGTCATTTTTATTCCACATTTTTCTAACTATTTTTATTGTTTTCATAGAAAGCACCTTGTATGGGTCTTTTTGTTCCAGCAATCTGACGAATGGGCTTGGACTGCCGTAAGTAGAAAAGAAACAAAATTCCCCAAGTGTCTGAATTCAAAAACCAAGCCCCCAAAAGAGTTTTTGAAAAGTCTAATGAAACTTTAGAAAAACACTCTTAGGTTCTTTTCACCAATAGCCAAATAAACATGATAAATCGATTAATGGCTTAGCTTGAGGAGCTTATGGCATGGGAGCTAAGCTTTCACAAGTTTAGCCATTTGAGAGAGAGAGAAGCATGAATTTCCTACAGAAAAACAAGGGTTTGAAGTGGGCATCGGAGAATTAGAACGATTTCTTCCTTAAGGGAAGAAGAAAACTAACAAAAAAGAAGATTGGGTGGCTTAAGCAAATTTTCAGTTGCTTGACAATGTTTGGTCAGGCCCTGAATGGGTTGGTTTTCTGGGTAGCAGAGGCCCTCTTTTATAGCCACAAAGAACCCTAATTTCATCTACCCTTTTCCTTTCTTTTTCGTTGCTTCTTTCCACTTTATCTTCTTTGGTGCAATTCTCCCATCCAAGGCCCATGGGTAACGAACCCTTTATGGTTCCAAGGGTTTGACGCAGCTGGACCTCCCTATGAGGATGAGGCGCCACCTGCTTTCCCCCTTGGTTTTTAAAACGAAACTTGTAATGGAAAATAATATGGGTAGAGTTTTTTTGTCCAATGGGTATTCATCTTACCTTCATAGATTTCCTTTGGTCTTTGCCATGGATCCTTTGTTGACCGTTCTTGGAGTTCTAGCAGAGGTGGAACTTGGTGCCAAATTTTTATAAGTTGTTGGGTTGGGCTTGTATGCACAGTATTGGGTTATTGGTTTGTTATTTCCAGCATTTGATAGGTTTTCGTCAAGCTGCTGGAAGTGGCTTTGTTAATTTTGGGCATTCTTTTGATGTGGGCTTATCTAAGTATGCAAATTACTAGATGTCTTCCCAAGGTATTGGACCATTTTTCCCTTTTCTCTCATGATAAGCCATGTATTTGGGTCCGAGAAATGAGCTTGAGTTTTAATGCTCCCAAGTGGCTTAAAACTTTCATTCCTCGAACCATCAATGGGCCATGTGATTGCTTGTTTCCTTCCATACCACAACCTTCTCAGCAAGCCTCAGGTAATTTTGTGGCTTGGGCCCACTTAAGCTTGTGGCATAGCTTGGTGTTATAATAATGGCTCTTCTTGCATGACACCTATGCTTGTGCTTGAGTTTTATTATTTCGCGATATGCTATAATTGGGCCAAGTAACACCTAATGAGTATGCGAGCTTGATTTTTGTAAAGTTGGCATGTTCTTGGCCCTTTTGCACGTGCTTGCTTGGCATGATGCGTGGCCAGTAGTTTGTATTAGTGCCTCCTACAAATTCTCTTTTGTCCCGATTGCACCTCTTTTGCATTCAATTATCCGCGTTGGGCCAATAATTAATCTGGGCTTTGTTTAGTGCGCTTTGAAATACCAAATTTTCAAATTCCAATAAAATGGTGGCATGTATAGTAAAATATTAATTTTGTAATGAATTATAATATTCAATTTGGTTTGAAGCATTATTAAACTCAATTTTATCGAGATTTTTGCTTTATATCCAATTGATATAAAATATTTAAATAATTAAATAATTTTTGAACCAAACCAAACCATCATTGTGGTATGATAGATACTCGGTACTTTCTTTCTTTTTTAAGAACACCCAAACAGTTTGATGTATGTAAAAGCCCAAGCAAAAATTCAAGCAGAAGTATGGCAAATCCAACCCGAACCCAAACCCTAATTTTTGGCCCAATATTGTAGACCGGATTGTTTTGATACGTGAAAGGCCTTGCTTCAATGCCCATTGTGTAGTTCAGTGACTGTTCAAATTGAGTTTAACGGGGAGAAAATCATTGATTTATTCAGTACATTGGCTGGCCGCAACCAGATATTAATATTGGTCATGCAATTTGCAGTCAGACATGCATGGTCAACCCATTTATTTATTAGAGTCTTCCCCTCCATGCAAAGCAATATAAATTGAAACTCAATGATAATATGATGAAGAAGTAGAAAAGAGAGACTCTCGAAACAAGGTTAAGAAGTTCGACGGGTTGTAAGAGGTTTATAGCTAAAGTTATTAAGAGCATTGAGTCATGCATATGAAGTTTTAGATTCGATTCCTGCTCATAATATTGTCGGTATAAAAAAATAAAAAGAAGTTGGACGGTTCAATCCACTTGCTCAAAACAGTGATTGCCTTTCTTTAATAAACTAGTGTATTTAAGTTGCTTGGCCACCATTGTTTGAAACGACTTGCTAACATGACCTTTCACAAGCAAATATACATTAAAGAACAAATCCAAGGCCCCAAGGAGGAGGCCAAGAGGTGCCAATTCCAGCAAGGAGGTGCTTGTGGGCCCATACAAGAAGTAGGACCCCCGCTTTGTGATTGGGTAACATTAAAATAGTCCCAAAGGATATTACCAATCCCTAATACGAAATATTAGAAGAAGAACAGAATCTGAATATCTGATAATACAACCAAGGAAGAAAGGTTTGTCTGTACGACAGCACCCAATTCACCCGTGAAACAAGGCTTTTCTCCTTCCTACCCTACCTTAATCATAGGCTATTAAGAATCTATGTTCTAAACAATTCCACACCCTTCCTTCTATAAATCGCAGTTTGGGAGGAAAACACTTATGTTCGTAAGTACTTTTTTAAGAAGCAAATCAATATTTTTATTTAAAAAATTAATAAGTGTTTTCTGTAGAAGCACTTAACACTCCATTAAAAAGCGTCGCCACTCTACCGCTGAGTTATATCCCTTCTCGTGCCCCATCGAGAAATAGACTCAAAAACACTTTCAAGATTTTCCTATCAAATAATACCGTCTCAAAAGTACTTTCGGTGGTCAGAAACATCAAGTAAATGGCTAGAGAACCAATATCATTAAGAAAATAAAAGGTTGAATAAGTAGCTTCAAAAATTGTGAACCTGGTGTAGATTAGGATGTAGCTCAATTCCAAGCTCATACGATAGGCGGCAGGTTCGGGTTAGAGATTTGTTTAATGCAAACTTGCATTTTGAGCCAAAAACAAAATCATAAGTTGATAAAAAAAGGTCAAATTTTTGTGATGAAAATTTTGTTTTGATCTCATACTCAAAACAATAAATATAAAAAAGGGCATGTTAGAAGAAAATTCTTGCCTTGTCAATTCGAACTTGAGAAAAATATATATGTATATATATAAATATAGGTGAAGAGAGAGAGAGAGAGAGAGAGAGAGAGAGAGAGAGAGAGAGAGAGAGAGAGTAAAGAAATTTGATGCTTTGCTTTGCTTTGCTTAAACAGATTAGAGAGTAGAATAACGGAATTAACAAAAGTTAGAAGATTAGAACCGCTAATATGATGAGGACATCTGATTCCAGGAGTTCAAATCTTTACAAACTCCTCTTCCTTTCCTTCTCCTCCTCCTCAAAACCCCTCCCTCTCTAATCTCAGGCCACCTACAACACCTACTTAATTATATCTTTAGACCTATCAAATTTAAAATTGCATTTTAAAGAAAGAAAAAAAGACAAAGTTGAAACAGAGGTTGGCAATGGCATGCATCTCCTCCTATCTCAGACCCTCAAAGCCTGCCTTTTCCTTCCTCACATGATTCTTCAACACACCTGCAAAGTCACATGAAATATTAGGCTCCACACTCAAGCCCCATCTTGCATGCAAACTTTTACTACCCCAAACCAAAACAAAGCTAAAAGAAAGGAAATTTTGGTTATCAAAATTCAGAGTTAGCGCAAGCACTAAGAGCAAGCTACCTAGCCTATGTTCGAGGGAAATCGGTGCAACCAAAGTTCTTTTGTTTCTACATAGGAAAGTTCTTGGATACTCTGTGTTTCTTTTTCTTTTCTTTTTCCTAAAATTAATTGTTTCTAAGAGAAATTTTCAGACATCATGTGTATGAACAGGAAATAGAGACAAAGGAAAATATCTGTTTATGAATAAAACAAACAAACAGACAAGAAAATAAAGTCTCTCTCTCTCTCCTGAAACACAAACATGTTTGTCTCTGCAATACCAATACATCAATCGTCAGACATGACATACAAAAAACCAAAAACTCAGCACAACACCAAAAAAAAAAAAAAAAAAAAAAAAAAAAAAAAAGAAAACCATGTCCATAGAAACTGCACACACATGTCAAAAACTGCAAATCAAAACTAAAATCAAATGAAGAAAAAAAAAATTAATTAAGCTAATCTGATACATAATCAATTAAAATGAATTACCTGATGAGGGTTTACAGTCAGGTGGATCTTCAAAGAGTGATAAAGAGAGCTGTTTGTGAGCAACCCCAATGTCAAAGAGTATGAGGCCTGATCTTGGATCATCCACAATGATGTCTTTGACTGGCAGCCATAGAAAGAGCTCTTCTTGGGTCAAGCCCTCCACCCCTATGAGGCTTCCATAGCTGAGATTGGCCCTCACAACACTTTCAAAGAAGACCCTGTTCTCAAACTTGGTCAGGCAAGGGCCATCAAGGAAGACTTGGAGCTGGCCATTGTCAGAGAGAGTGTAGGACTTGACCTCCTTTGGTAGGAGGCCTGCTGGCAAGCCTTGGGAGATAAGAAGGTCATGAATGGAGGAGGAGGAGAGGGAGAGGGGTAGAGAGAGAAAGATGAGAAAGGTCCATGGAAAGACTGTGATGAAGAAGAAGTAGTGGCTGGTGTTAAACAAGGACATGATGGCTGGTTGGAAATGTTTAGAGAGAGAGAGAGAGAGAGAGCATGTAGAGGGTTTTGTTTTTAGGGGATGATATTTGGAGAGTTGGAAAGTTTGAAAGACTGTTTTAATAATGGAGATTGAATGGTGAACTTACCATTTTGCCCTTGGGTTGGTGACTATGGAGGGGCCTAGAGTTTAATTATTTTGTTCTGTAGCACCTAATTATAATGGAGTATATGCTTTAACCAGATATGGGTTTGTTGTCCTTCTTGTAAAATTAAAATGAATCGGTGTGCTTGCTTCTCTTGTTGTATCTACACCATATGTACTCCATTTTTCTTGTTAGATACTAATCATATATTCCATTTCAGTCTTAGTTGTTGTAATTGTAATTTGTAAGTATGAGATTGATTACTTTAAGTTAAATTAATGTTCAATTGCAAATTTCTATAAGTGCAATTTAATTAAAGGTCGTCTTCTATGACAACCTTTGTGATTTTTTATTTTCATATTTGACAACTTTGTGATACAAGCAGTATTGGGGAAGGAGGGTTATCTTTCACACACCGTCAAAAGTGTCATGGAGATTTGAATATAAGACCACAGATAATAAAACAATGTCAAAGTATTATACATTTTCTTTCGCTAACAAAATATAAATGGAGAACAAATTCCTTATACAACTAGAGTCTCATTAGTCAAATTAACAATAGTCACGACGGAAAGAGTCAGCTAGTGATTTTCAAGAGTGATGAGAATGGAACATAATTAGCTTCACAAAACACATGCTTTTCACGACATGATATCAATTTTGCGATATCATCATATCGGATCAAATTACTTAAATATATATATTTCCTAATCAAAAGGCAACTAAAAATGAAAAAGTGACAAAATAAAAGACAAATGTAGTGGTCTCTACAGTCTTCATGACATAATCATGCATGAACAATGGGTTTATTATAATATTTGCTGATTAAGTATCATATACCTAGAACCAGAAGAAATGTACACTGAAAAAGGTCTCTGGGCGGTCCAAACTTCAAAACAACTCAGCCAACGGACCTCCTGCTGCCAACATTTCATCACACAAATTGACAACAAAAGCATGACTCCATGATTAATATTTTTCTATTGACTAATTTTGCCTAAACAATTCAGCAAGACTAATTTAAACATAAAAAAGAAAACAAACACCCGCATTGGTCTCTCTCTGCGTTTGGAGGTGAACCAACCTAAATTTGGAAAACACTCGGTGAACAAAGGCGTCTGATAGAGAATACTAACAGTGACAAGGGCATTTTAGGCATTCTACAATCCCACATGAACAATGGAGCATGAATGATAACCAGATTGTAACGGCTGCACCTGCAAGTGGAAAAGTCATAATCCAGGAAGGTACCTCACATGAATCCTGCAACTCAAGGGATGGTAAATAAGTAATTACAGACATGAAAAACTTCTCTCTTTTTATAAGACAATATTCAATCAAAACTTCCTCTAATGCACGGAGAGAAGGATCGAACCCGAGTGCAAGGAACGAGCATACTGCCTTAATTAATTTCATGTTACATATGTGGTAAAATGGGCTTAGAATTGGTTTAACATGGATGGATAGGAAATTATGAAGTTGATGAAACTTTTGTGACTTCATTTTTTCTTTGTTGTTTTGCCATTGAAGAAGACCCAGCAGAGTGACAGTACCAGCAGTCCGCTGTGCTTCAACACAAAAAAGTTTTCAAGGAGGTAATGATTAAAGTTTGCTGTGGGAGGGAGACCTGGGAAGTAGATGCCCCAGCTGAAATGACTTGTACACGTGGACCAATAAGGTCGGCCCATTGCCAGTGAAAATTTAGTGAGTATAGGCCCACGTGTGTACTGTGCATGCAGGTCCCCATGCGTGACATGCGCGTCACTTCTGCTTCCAGTACCAACAAATTGTATGGATTTATATTTTTTTGAGGAATGCTAGCAACATTCTCTCTAACTTTCTCCTTTTTTTGCTTGACATGTGTCATTCTCTTTACACTTAAAACAATGTCATTAATGTATTATACAAGCTAACTTTTGCTTTCCAAGTTTACCCTTAGTAAATTTATCCAAAAATATTTCACAACTTTCTTACCATCTTATTAATTTTTTTCTAACATCAATTATTTTTTTTAAAGAAAATATCTGCTTTTAAGAGGAAATGTCCCTTCTTTTTTCTTTTTTCTTTTTTTAACACAAAGGGTTTAGATAGAGAGAGAAAAAAAGAAAAGAAAAGAAGAAGTCCTTTGTGTTAAAAAAAGAAAAGGACATTTCCTCTTTTTTGAAAAAAGCAAACATTTTCTTTTAAAAAATAACTAACATTTAAAAAACATAATAAGATGGTAAGAAAGTTGTGAAATTTTTTTGGATAAATTGAATACATTTAATAAGGGTAAACTTGGAAAGCAAAAATTAACTTGTATAATATATTAATGACATTGTTTTAAGTGTAAGGAGAATGACACATGTCAAACAAAAAAGGGAGAAGGCCCAAATGAGAAGGTTAGAGAGAATGTTGCTAGCATTCCCTTAATTTTTTTAGCCACGATTATAATCAAGAGCATAATCAGGAATTTTTTAACAAGTAGGCTAATTAAAGTTATTAGCTTTAAATTTATTTTTTTTTCTTTTTTGCACTTCCAATTTATGTAGTATTTCTAGAAATAAAAGTATACGTTAAATCATATAAATCACGCTAGTTCATAATTCTATTGACTAATTTTCAAAAAGTTTTTCTTTATACAATTGATATTGGGGATGGATAATTGAACCTAGGATATCGAGTGTATGGCTAAATGCTAATTTCTAATAAGTTTTAGCATAAAAAGAATACATATTAAATGCAACCAAAAAGCACATATTATCAGAATAAAAATATGTTCAACAACATAATTGAAAGTGTACATATTTTTATGTGTATTTTTATTAATGCCATGCAACTACATTCATAAAGAATTGAACTTTTTTTGGACTTTAATAATACATACTTTGCTATATAATCTATATTTTTTTTTGGACGAACGTACTTGGCTATATTTAAAACAAGTCAAATATATAAGTATATATATATATTTTTTTTTGTTGCCAAAGTCTAATATATAGGTTTGATTTTTCTATCCCCAAAAACCTCTCTAGGCTACAATCCACTGTAGCCATGAACTTAATTTCGCCCCTAATTATAATTATTAGTATATTTTACAAGATCAACTACTTCTTAGTGTTCATTCTATTCTCAATATCGAAGAAGTTCCGAATTTGATACCCCTACCTATAAAATAAAATAAAATAAAGTGTTTTTACAAAAAGATCTAGTAGAATATAATATATCATGTCAATTTGAGAATAAGATTCTTCAATCACAAACTAAACACTTCAAAATAATGGGGAATAAGAAATTTCAAAATACGCAAATCATGTCTCAAAATATCGTAGCGTTTTTTCAATAATTGTTTATCATCTACTATTTCTTTTCTTTCTTTCATTTTTTTTGGAAGGATAAAACAAATTTCATTAATATATTTTATGACTGATTCATTCCATATTATTTTACATTTCAATGCAAATTCATATATGTTCTTCATTTGTCATGTTACTGAATACGAAGGTCACGTTGGGGTTGGTCACTGAACAAAGGGTTTACGCGGTTTACCCATCCTCAGGTCAGCACCATACTAACAGAGTTGCTCATCATATTGTGTAGTTTGCTCTTTGGATTCAAGAAGTGATTAGTATCATTCAAGATTTATTACTTGAGGATTTTAATTATACTCGCTAATATAAAAAATAGTTGTAAGACTTGTGAGCCATGAATGATGCAAGGCGAGAATGGGCAAGATGAGCGAGCAATCTCACACAGTTCAAGGAGGGAAATGTGAAGTGTTACATATGTGTGGGCACTTGGACTTCTAGCAAGAGACATTTTGGACATGATCGAATAAGCTTAAGCCTATGAACAAAACTGTGAGGGCCCATGTCCAAAACGAACAATATCTTACTAGTGAAGTAAGATTGTGACAAAATAGTATCAAAGTTAGACTTTGAACGGAAGTGTGCTAACGATGATGTTGGGCCCCAAATGGGGTGAATTGTAAGACATGTGAGCCCTGAAGGATGCAAGGAGGCAATCCCATATACCTCAAGGATGGAAAGGTGAAGTAACTGTCATATATGTGTGGGCACTTGACTTCCTAACAAGAGACCTTTTTGGGTAATATAACATAAGCTTGCGCCCAGAAAACAAAATCATGAGGGCCATGCCCAAGGCAAACAATATCTTAGTAGTGAAGCAGGGTCGTGACTATAGTTGTCCAAATATTCCTATGAAGTGCTCAATTTCGTATTGATTTGGATTTTTTTAAATTTTATTTAATGTCCAGAAGTGAAAACTATTAACCACCTATTTCACATTGTGTTTATACTTCAAGATGATTCATAATTCCCCTCCCCCCCCCCAACACACACAACGACACTCGAACCCCATCCGCAAAAACCTAAACCTCATAATATGATCATGAACCTGAACCTAAACCCGAAATTCCAAACTTAAGACCCATGCTACATGTCTCAAGAGTGAGACTTTCTTCGAACTGAATCGGGAATTTAGGTCTCAAACTTGAGAGCATCGATCCACAAATCCTAATCTAAATACCAAACCCCGAACATATGATTGCGGACCTCAAATCCTAGACTTGAACCGCATGCACTGTCTTGTATGCTGAATTTAGTGCCACTAATCCATAAATAAAACAACTTAGATCGATAAAGAGAATTGTAATTAGATTAGGCGAGTGGCTCGAAAAGATGCCCGAACATGGTGGGTGAGCTAAAAACAAAATCATGGGACTCCTCGACAAAAACCAATTGCAATCAGTATTAAACAGTCCAATCATTTTTATACTCACCTTTAAATTATCCATCATCAATGTGGCATGCTAACAACACATGCAATGTGGCTTCCTGATAAATTGCATCATGGGATTTCTTTTTTGGTATGATTTTTTTTTCCCCTTGTAAATTGTAATCTGGTGTATCGCATGTGTATTATAATTTTCATAATCAAATTTGAAGAAAATGAGAATATGAATCAATGATTGAATTGGGTTTTGCTAGATGGGAGAACCCAGAGCATTATATTAAAATGAAGAGAGTTGGCATCCTTACAAAGGAAAAGGGGATCTTCCATTGAAGGGACAAAGTTATCTTGCAAAACCATGAGCTCTTATTGCATCTTCTAAGAAGATAAGAATGGCAACGGGAGGGACGGGTCGAGGCCGGATATGCACTAACAAGGCTTTCACATCATGAACCACAACCCCCAACTCTGCTAGGACCATTTCCTCTTCACTGTTTTTAACCCCGGGGGATGGAGGCCTAAGTTCCGTCTCAACAAAGCCCAAGATTTTGGTTTACGTGTTTTGTTTTGTTGTTCTTTGTTTTTTTGGGACAAAGTTTTGTTGTTCTTTTACTTGTGGAAATACCATAGCCATTTGACCCAAAAAAGTCGATTGGATACGTCTCTTTGTTTTGCAAGAACACAACAATAAACTCTAGTGAGGCCAATTTATGCACCAGAAGTACCCAGTAAAAATCTTTTGTACACAGATACCCTGCAGTGTACAAGAGAATGAGCTTTGCTGGTAGGACCTACATATTTTTGCCTTTAATTTACACAAGAGAAAGAGCAAGGCTAATGTCTGGCTTAAAGCAAATACAAATAAAAGAAAAGGAGCAGTGGCAACGAGGCAGGATATCACAAGAAAAAGTGAAACAAAAATCACCATGACTCATTTCTGACGATTTATAGTGTCTTGGTTTTCATGATTTGCATACTTGCAGGACTCTCTGCAGTTGTAAGATGTTGCTCTCTCATCTCAGCTTTGTCCAGGGAAGGAATCACCATCACAGGTTTGATCATTTTGTGCTGTGAATTTAGGTCACTCAGATTTATGTTGTGTGTTTTATATTATGCTAGCCTATCAGTGCAAAGAAATCAGAAAATATATCGCAAAATTAGCGGGCACAATTGCATATGATGGCAATCAAGCATGAGAGGGGGGGAAGAGAAAAAGAAGACAATCATAAATCAAACATCCGTACAACTAAAATCAACTATATAGCTGAACTTTAATTCTTAGTGTTGAAGCAAAAACACTATCACAAAGGTAATCTTAGGTCAATTGGGTAATTCACCAATAGTGATGCCTCGATAACAAGCTCATAAGACAATATTTCTTATCCAGGCAAAACACAAAGACTTCACCACAAAAATCAAAGCACAGATATGTGAACCCCTGGATGAGTTCCTCCATTTGATGACCTTCACTACCAGTTCATAAGGTACTATTTGTTTTTGCATTCCCACGTTGCATACAATGGCATTCTGATTACCTCATCCAGAGGCTGATTCTGATGGAGATGCTTCTTGCTTTGGCCGTGTTCGTTCAGGAGGAGGTCCATCCCTTCGTCTTTCATATCTTCTGCTCTCAAATTTTGATTCTCTTCGTTTCTTTGGTTGATAAACAGGGTAGTTGCCAGGAATTATCTCTCCATTAACATACTTATCACCTACATGCAAACCCCCAAGATGAAATCATTAGAATGACACTCAAGTGGTAAAACAAACCATTTGTTTGTGACTTAACATACCTCCATAATCCTTGTTTTTAACATCTATATACGAATCTGGCAATACCCAGAGAACACCAGGCAATCCTGCATCAGGAAGAACTAAGTTAGCTCTACAAAGTCACTGTTATACGAGAAACCCGCAGAAAGATGCACCTGAATGCAATACATAACCTTTGAATTTTTCAGATGTTTCTTCAGATACAGTACACTGGAATCCAGTGTATGTGGTGGTGCTAAAAGCATACATATTTTTCTTTGCTTCTTCCATGCTGCAACATAAAAAACCAAGTTGTGAGATTGATAACTAAGTGCTTCCCACTAAGTGTGTGTAACCTAGGAGAGTATCAAAACCCACTTAGGCTCAGACTGAGTTAAATAATCTTAAGTTAACTGATCTAAGAAGAGCCTTCCACATCATCAATCAAAACTAGTTCAAAATGATTCCATTGGATAAACGCAACAGCTAACATCAATTCAGATGCCATTGGTCAGATTCAAACTATCAAGTTGTTTTGCTAGCTAGTTATGATAATTGTTATACTATAACGAACTTGATTTCCCACATAAAAACGTATTTGAAGTTCACTCAAAATTAGAAGATAGTTTATTATCCAGTCTCTGAAAATTACAAACACTACTTCCAGAATATAAGAGAATCTTCTGCTTAATGATAAGTGATCAAACATACTACACTTTCCAAGCTTCATTGCATTACTTTTCTTTTCATTTTCTTGGACCTTTCATAGAAGGAAAGTAATTTTCTATTTATCTAATAATTAATTATTTTCTGCACTATATAAACACAAACAGATTACTCCCAATTACCTGCATAAACATTTCCTTTCCTTGATATACTATCAAAGAAATATATAAACAAGCTTCACTCAACTTGGAATTCGTGAACAAATTATTCTATTTACGCAAAACTTGAACTTATATCTCCCCTTAACATATTCTAGGAACTATTTCCAGTCGAAACAAACTCAACCCAGAAATCCTTGAATGCTTTCACCAAAAATTTCTCCACAGCAATAAAATTTGGCCCAAAACAAATAGAACCCAGAAACATTTTCTATTAAAACAAACAAAAACCGTTAAATAAAATAAATTTAAAGTATAAATAAGTAAAGAAGCACCTTCCAAGAACAGTAGCGAGAGTGTTGAGGTAGGTCTCGATCATTTGCTCTCTAGTGGGAGCAGGGTCTTTAGGGAACTCCATGACTATAAGCCAGTGGTTATAGTCACAGCCAGGTAACATTATCGTCTCTCTCTGCTCATTGCTGCTGCTCCTCCTGGACGAGTAGTCGCTGTCGTTCACAGCTCGAACGCGCAGCTTTGAAGGAACCGAGCGAGTTAAAGGCCGAGTCTCCGCATTGAATCGGAGGGAAGAGAAAGAGGGTTGGAAAGAAGGAGGAAAAAGAGAGGGTCTTGGGGTTGGTATTAGGGCTTTGGAAGTGAGATAGAGGCTCGGTGCCATTGCCATTTTCAGAGTTCAGAGTGAGAGAGACAGAGAGTAAACGCAGATAAGGAGAGAGAAGGACGATATTTTCAGGTTTTATGTTGGATAGTTTTGAGTTGGACTTGGGCTTGGGCTTGGGCTTATGAATTGGGTTTTTTTTGTCCAATGGCCCATCAAAATTTTATTAAATCTTTACCTATACTATGGAAATACACATAGGTTGGCCATAATGAGGGGTTCCTTAATAGCCGTCCGATTCAGTGCATAGTTATTATTGGACTGGTGAATTGAACCCCCTCATTATAACTCCTCATTTTTATCCCTCATTACAGAAGCTCCCCAAATACACGACAGTTGGGAAATTTGAGGCTCCAATTGTTTGCTTGCATAGAAGAGTATGAACTATGTGGTGGTAGCGGTGATCGGCATGGTGGTCGGTATTCATTGTCCATTCCCATATACATATGTGGATTAGACCAGTTTGTCATGGTTTTCCCTTTTACAGTTGAATTCGACTGCCATCCCTATATGTTAGACTAGTTTAGACTATTGCCTTGTTGAAAAGGGAAAAAAAAAACAGGAGTTATTTATCCATTTGGTTAATGGGAAAGGAGGCTTGGGGATGAGAAATCAACTGATTTCCCATGTATGGTAAGTCCAGACATAAGAAATTGTTGTCTGTCATATGGGAAAGTAGGAGGAAAGTGAAGCCCTCCTCCCAAGAAATTATAGAATGATACCGTACCACTATGTCAGCCGGTGATACTCCCACTCAAAATTTGACATGTGTACAACTTTTTAAAGAAAATTTTAAAATTTAAACAGCTAGATTTAATCCATTTTTCAATTTAAATTTAAATTAACAAAAATGGAATGTATAAAATAAATAAATAAAATCTCCTCAGCAACATCAACCCCTTCTTTGAACTTGGCCCCCACCCCCACCTTTCTGCCATGGTTGCTGCTAGTCTTTCTTTTTTCATGTCTTCGTGTCTTTCTCTCTTCCCCTCCCCCTTCCTTCCTCCTCTCTATTATGGGTAGGGTTCAAGGAATTTGGATTGAAACTTTCTTGGGGGTGAGTTTATGGTCTTTGAGGAATCCAAACTTTCAACATATATCAAGAGCAAAATCAAAGTTTTTCTCTTGATTGTGAAACTCGAAGGATTCATTTGTCATGGGCTATCATAATATTCACAGATAGAGAGACAGATAGTCATGACGAGATGCTTCGTCGCCGTCGATGAGGCAAATGATTTTTGGGTTTTTTTTTCTTTCTTTTTTATTTGTAAGTTTTTAAAACTCTTTTAAATTTATTTTTAAGGGTAAAAATGAATACTAAATCTAGTTGTCAAAAAGTTATAAACATGTCAAATTTTGAATGGGAGTATCACCAGCTGAAAAAATGAGCCAACATTAAATGGACATTTTTCATGACATTTTTGTCCTCATTAACAATTTAGAATTATAATATAGCATTAAATTCATTTTTTTTTTTTATAAATTTCATATGGGTATAATTAGAAAATTAAACCAACTTTGTTTTACATTCCTACACAAACCAAACATGTGAAAGGAAATAAAGTGGTATTTCCTTGTTACTTTCCCAGGATTACCAAACATGGGAAAGTAATCTTTCATTTCTCATCCCTTAAGAAAGACATGAGAAATTATTTCTCATCAAATCTTTTCTGCAAACTAAACGGGGCCCAAAAGGTTATGCAAAGGTCATAGAATGAAACAATCTATGTTTGGATAAAGGAAATGAAAATTGTAGAGCTCTTAAATGACGCAATCTAGATCTCCATCATTTAAATTTTTGGCAATTAATAATTTCAATGTTTAGATTTATGTATGTCAAATTTTGTAAATGACAAAAATGACAGGGAAAACAAATTCTCACTCAACAGAAATTGCCAAATGACGCCTCTTTGAGGGAAATTAAACTCAAAAATCTCAATTCCCAGTATCCACAATTTTTCATCATTAATAATTTCTTTGTTTAAGTTGTTAAATAATGGAAATATCAATTTCTCTTATTCAATTCCTAACTTTTAGCTAAATCCCGAATTATTTTCCTTCATCCAAACGGAGTGTAGGTTTGACGATTTTTATTATTGTTAATAGTATTGGGCTAAAATTTATTGCAGAAGTTCTCTTGGGCCGAATTTGTTGTCAATACACTAAATCACATACTAGGGCCTCTAAAAAGTCTTGTGAGCTATTTGATTTTGGACATTTAAAAAGCTTCTTATTCTATCCCTTAGAAAATAAATTATGAGAGCCTCTAAATATAGCTCATCTCTATTTGAGTAATTTTTGGGTGTTTCGGGTACATCATATGGTTGGTGTATCATCCAATAGACGTAGGACATGCGGAATATTTTCAATGCAGCCAACCACATGTTAAAAAAAAAACAATAGAGTAAGTTGGAGAATAATTCCACATGACCTATGTGTATTGGATGGTACACCGGCCACATGTAAGAATGTATTAGTGCATGTGCAACCTTATATGAATATGTTCTAATTCGATTTATTTGTTCACGATAATGATTTAGTGACTACCCTAATCCATACTCACGAAATCAATACAACATAGCTAGAGAACCTCCTTTTGATATCATGTTGGATACTTCTTCTTTTCTTCCTTTTTTTTGGGGTCAAATCACAAAAACTTTATACTACATAATAATTTTGCTTCTGAAATATTAGACTAACATCCACAAATAATTCAATGGAATAGGATTTGGAAGACGTTCTTTTCACAGTTCTTAAATATAATTGCACAAGAAGAATAATGGCTATATATGAACTTTGAAGACGTAACTGTTTGCGTGAGGAAGCACAAATCTAGTTGTTTATAGCACTGTTTGATGGTAGGAAGCAACCTCCAAGTCAGTGTCACTAAGTTCTTTCTATAGCTAGCTAGCTACCTAGCCAGTAGCCTGAAGAATTGGTCAATGAAATTGAAGAAATTAATAATATCTCACACCATGTCTCATTCTCAGCAGAATATATATTGGTTTTGGTATCATCAACTTTAATACAACCATTTATGTCTTGCTAATTGTTCAACAATGTCTCTTGTCTGATATGATTTTTTCTTCTCTTGAGTTGTGTCAGCATCATTATCTGCTAATTTTTCTACACTTTGAAGACGTAACCATTATAGCGTGAAGTTTAATGACATCTACAGCCCAACAGAACAATTAAACAACAATATATTAGCCCACTAATTGTATATGTCCCGAATCACGCCTTCATGTAAGAATTAATTAACATGTTATGTTGTAAGATAGTCGGGTCTAATAGGAGAACATTTTTATACATATACATATACACTTGTTATATATTGAGTAACTTGTCTTTAAGATTTACTTTAATGGATCATGTCCTGATCTGACTGATAATAACTTATATGTGGGACTGAAGTGGTTGAAGTTTGGAACAAACGTCTCCCTTAAATTCAAAAGCGCATGCAGCATTTTCATTACTCTTCCACTTTTCATTTTCGCATTGCAGTCTCCAGACGCCATCTTGAAAGGAACAGAGACCTAAAATTGTTTTAAATAACAACAGAAATAGTAAAAAGAAAGAAAGAACGAGAAGAATCTTTGAACGACATGTATTTTTTTTTCTTCTTTTTTTCCCATTCATTTGAATATTTGGACTGTAAGACGAACATGATAATCTTCAAATGAGATCACTATATAAGGCATTTGAATACATGAAAAAAGTAATCAGTTGTGTGCTGCAGAATGTCTGAAGTAGTCATATTGGTGATGAAAGCTAATCCAACCAAAGCTTTTTGTTTAATGAATTTGTTCTTCCAGTCACTTGAGTGATGGGTGGAGACTGCAGTGCTGACCTGAGGAGTTTTGAACTGTTGACCAATCCATAAGAATGAATGCTTAATCTTCTCTAAATGACGCTTAAAAAAGAGATACTTAAAAGTCCAAAAAGTTGAAATTAAGGCAAAATAATATAAATAAAAAAATTAATTGGTTTCTATATATCCAACCAATTAATGTGATGTCAACATGGAGTTAGGTGTCTATGTGGTTGTATTATTGATTATCTAATTTGTTAATTGTTAAATGTTTTAGTTCTCGTTCATTCTGATTAGTTAAGAGAAATGCTAGCGTCAGTCGTTCACGCGCACGTAGATGATTGATAGAGATTGAAGAATACGAATTGAATGAAGAGCTCCACACAAACCAATGATTTATATTCATCTGCACGCATTTTAGTGGCGCGATTGACGTCAGCCAAATTCTTCCGTTGAATTACAATTCTACAACCCTTTTTCTTGTCCTAACCAATTTGAGCACTCTTTTTCTTTGTGCATTGTTGCATCACAGGAGCAGCTCATAATTATCTCATATATAATTGGAGATTACTGACTATCAGGGAGCAATTATACAGAAACGAGATTATAATAAGCCTGATTAGGAAACAGCTATAACCCACTACTGATTGTAATTAAGAGAGAGAGGGAAAAAAAACCCTAGCAGCAGCAGCAGCAGAGCAGTAACAGCAACAAATAAATAATAACAACAACACTGTTGATGAGCTAGTAATGGGCCCAACCCGACCCAAGAGGGCCCATAAAGTGAGCCCGGCAAGAAAACAAATCAGATATGCCCTCACGTGTGGGTGGGGAGGTTAAACCCCTGAAAGGGGCCCACAGCCCACGTGTGAGTTGATCTGGGAGGGGAAGTGGACCCCACTCCACAACCACAACCAAAACCACCTAAGTTGGGCCGTCGCCTTCTAGTTAGTCGGATGGGACGTGACATTTCACGTGAAGTTTGGGCCATTTTCGGATCTCTAAACGAATCGGGGGGTCCATTTTTGGCCCTGCCCCTTTGAGTTTGAGCCAATCATTAATAATATTATAATATTATGTGGTATTTTCTTTCGACACATTCTCCTCTGCTCTTTTCGGAGGGTCCATTTGATTTCAAACAAATTTAATTTCCAAGTCCTAAGTCCACTTTTGACTTCTCATGTTTTAATTTAAT